AAGCATGAATCAGAGTCAAGGGAGAGAGAACAAAAAACAAAAACAAACTGGGTTCTCGAGGAAAACAAGAACCCTTGGGTTTTTGTTGTCAGTTCACTTCGGGAGCATAGCTTGTCATGAAAGCTGTCAAAACCCCAGAGGAGCATTAGCGCATCCGCACAGATAGTTTATGTTAAAATTATAAATTCCCATTCTTAAAATAAAACATCAAATTTTTTTTCAGAAAATCTGTTTATTATAAAAATTTTCATGTTTAGTTTCTCACATAAGTTTTATGTTTAGGTTCTCAAATTGTAAGAGAAAATAATTACTTACTCATATATTTAAAATTATAAATAATTATTTATAATTATATGGCGGTGGCCTATTGGTTAGGACGTTCGACTTGAATTTTCATATTGGACATAAAAAAAGACAGGGGGCGTTGATGGCTGCAATGGTTAGGACGATTCATAAAAGTTATAGGTCATAGGATAGTGGATAGCACTGGTAGAATAAAGGTGATATTCCTAGTATAGCAATCTCCAAGAGATGACATGAACAGGATGTTTGAATTTAATTAAATCTTCCAAATAAACGTAAGTACTAAAATGAATTGGGAACGAGAGGAAAACACCTCCTTTAAGAATGGCACTATCTTTTGGTACACAGATGGATCTAGAACACAAGAAAGTACAGGGGTAGGAGTATTCGGTCCTGGAAGCAAATACTCAGAACCCATGGGAAAATACACCAGTATCTTCCAAGCTGAGATTCCCGAAAGAAGAGATATACTCAAATCAACTTGACTAAAAGGTACATAAACAAGAACATAGCTATCATGTCAGATAGCCAAGCAGCAATCAAAGCACTAAGCTCAAATATCATTAGTACAAATAGGTGTTGAACTACAAAACCAAATTAAACTTATTAGTATGCAGAACAAAGTCAGCCTCTGCTGGGTCCCAGGACACATGGGAATAGAAGGCAACGAGAAAGCAGACACCCTTGCAAAAAAAAGGGGCTGCTACACTGCTGACAGCACCTGAACCCTTCTGTGGCATAGGAACCCACATTATCAATGAGTACCACAGACAGAAGGACAAAAAGAAAATGAAGGAACAATGGAATTCACTCATTGGGCACAGGCAATCCAAGAATCTCCTAACAAATTTTGGAAGAAAAGAAGTTACAGAATGTGTCAAAGGAAGCAGGAATAAACTGAGAATCCTAACAGGATTCTGCAAAGAGGCAGAGGAGACACCAACACACCTACTAACAAACTGCAGTGCTACACTTGCCCCCAGGAGGAAAGGCTTTGGGATGTACAATGCGACCGCAGAAGAGATTCAACCACTGAAGCCGGGCCTACCAATAAATAGTAACAAATTATATATAAATATTAATACAATTTATATTATAAATATTAGTAATTATATCCTTGTGTATATCGCTGATTTCGTTCTATTTTAAATCTTTTATATTAATTCACAGGTCAAATCCGTTCTCAATAAATCAAATTATGGTTTAAGTATGGATTAAGAAATGTTTTACTTTTAATGACAGCATACTTTATTAATCAGTACAAAAGAAACTCCATTCATTGTTGGTGCACTGTGACAATCATTTAAAATTATAAATTACATGTACACAATGTTATAATGACATAAATAAATGAAAACTGTTTATTACTTAATATACACTATGTATTTTCAAGCTGAGGAATTATGTTTAATTGAACTTATCCAAGACCTTTCTTGTGCAGTTTTCTTTCTCCTTCCTTACCCTTATAATTCTGTTTTAAAAACTAGCAATGTCTTTTGGATCCACATATGTATCAATAAATTAAGAAACAGGCCAGATAATTTTAAAATTTTTGAACATGAATTTAAATATAATCCGTTTTATTAGTCATTTACCCAGTTTAGGAGTACTAGTTTCGATTTAAAAATTTAACTTATTGCTAAGGCACAATTTTTGGTAACCTCCCTTGACAAACACGAATTATTATCCGCACCGTTCATCAAAAATTAAAGTAAAAAATAAATAAAAATTATACAATTACAAATATTTTCAATGTCAATACAAACTCGGTGAATTTAAATGCCACAAAATATATTATTTTACAGTTTGTTTTAAAATGGCTTGACATTCAGCTCATCGTTTCAAGAATAACAATGAATTATTCAGTACTTTTAAATTCATTTTTTTTTATTCTACTACTAATTCTACTGTAAGTAGCCTTCCAAATTAACACTCTTCAGCAATTGATTTCGTAATCTGAAGGCACTTTAATCCTCTAGAGATTAGATTATTCTGAAAACTCACTCAACCAATTAAATAAAAATTAAAGTTTTCATTTGAACATTTTAATTTTTTATATAAAAATATATACGGTGTATCCGACAAGGATATGATTATTTTCTGATATGTGTCAAAAAAGGCTGAAAACCAAAGGTGAATGTGTGTAAGAGTGAGTTTAAACAATGACAAATTAATTTTTTTTTTAAATTTACCTACCGAAATTTTCTAGCCAACTTTTCTACTTAATTTTTATTTAGATCAAAAGTAAAAACCTGACGATTCTAGTTCATCTAATCTTGCCTTCTTTATTTTGTCCTATTCCTCAAATTTTCCTAACAAAATTTGTTTTTACTAATTTAAAATATACCTTTAATTGATAGAAATAGGATATTGTTTATTTTTTGATATTTTACCGAAAGAACACACGATTCTTGTATTTATGCAAAATTAAAATTTTGGATGGACTTAAAATAGTCATGGAAGACGATTTTATTGTAATAGCATTGATTAAACTTTAACTTTTAAATTATGGACAGTTAATATTTTTTTTTTTTAATAGTACGAAATAAGAATTTCTGAAAAAAAAATTAACTTTACTCCGTTTAGAATGTTGAAGAACAAATTTAAGACAGTTTACAGAAAAAGCAACAAAATAAAAATTCCCTTCATTTCTCAATCTGTGCTTAATTATTATGTATAAATATCTTAAATTTATAATTAATCATTGCTAGTTAAAATTTACCCCAAGATTAATTGAACAACAATGAAAACTACAAATTCGAACAGCCCTAATTTAGTACTATACAAAATAGTGGCATTATAATTATAATTAAGTGGCACATGTTTAAATGGGGTAATCCAGGCCTACATTCTTTCTTCAATTAAGTCACAATAAATAACTAGTATATGTGCATTTAAGTGCTCATATTGTTTTCATATATATTAACACTAGAAAAGAAAATTAAGGCAGAGAAAATTAAGAACAATTTACAACACACTGTGCTATCATTAAAATGAGCTTGAATGATACATATAAATAACCGACACTTAAAAATTGGTATAAAATTACAAAATTATATTTAAAAAAGTAATAGATATAATACTTCTTTTCACAACCGTCTATAAAATTCGAGCTTTCGGGAAGAAAAGCTTTATTTAATTTGAAGATTTCTTGTATTAAAATAATAAATTACAGTTAACATGTCAAAGGTATCGTTAATTCTGAGCAGTGCTCTCTCAGTAATCGGAACTAATATATGCAAGGGAGTATTCGGATGACTGAAAAATTCAGATTGCAGAGGGTGTTAAAAAAATGCATAAAATGTTTTAAAAAAATTGCAACACAGCACTTTATTATTGTTGCATACATAAAACAGTAAAATACCTATATATTGTCAATTTAAAAAAAAATCTATTTAACATTTTATTTATTGGTTTTTCCTGTTATTTAATCATTTTTTAGTAGTAGTATTATTATACTTAGCACAAGAAAAATGTATACTGATCTAACACTTCATTTTTTAGTAGTGGTAGGAGGTGAGTGAACCACTGAATAAAACATCACAAAAATTTGTATAATCTAAGCTGGTCTTGAGCTAACTTTCACTCACTTACTCTTTCAATTCACCCACCCACTTACTCACTACTTCTCTCTTCTTTTTCCCTCTCAAACACTATCTCTCACTTACTCACTCCCTCTCTTTTCTTTCACACTTTCTCTCTCTCTCCCCCTCTCTCATTAATTGTAAGGCCTAGTACGCACTGGGATTCTTTGAGTTGACCCTTTGAATCGCCGGAGAGTCTCAGCTGCGTGTCTAGCCTGAGTCCAGGCTGCCCCGACTCATTGTTGCGATAAATCTGGTGTGTTGCGGGCTAGCATTTTTGAACTCTTTTGAATCCCATCTGATATAGGATTCTTTGACTCAATGTTGCGCATTTGCCAGTACGGACGTGAATCAGAACAAGCACTCTTGCCTCGTTTATTTAGTTGATGTTGTAGTGTTTTCTTGAAGATTTTGACAGTGTCTTGTATAAAGGTATGTTGTGGAGTACCGAGTTGACATTACAGTTTATCAAAGACGTGCATTCCCATCGGTGTTTGTAGGATGTATCGTTTATGGACAGAAATCAGGAATTGAAAAGCCAAACATCGAACGGTTTGGCCCAAAAAACGATGAATGATGGCTTCGCACATTTCTGGAATAAAATCTGATATTGATTGTTTTGAAATCCTGAAGGTGTACTTGAGGCTTGTATACAAGTCTCCACTTGCTAGGAACCGGAGAGTGGCGGGAGAGATAGATTCCCGAAAGTGGGTATCTTTCTTGGAAATTTGACCACCGACTTTCATTAAAATGGTTTCAAAATCGGTCGGGGACATCCTCAAAAAATTTCTGAACTTTAATCGCAATGTGTCCAAAAGATTTTTCCCGTGCTGATTCCCGCCATGAAATATTTGTCGAACCTACCATCTTTTTGGGTTTTTTTTAATGCACCTCCGATTGGATTCACTACGTATAATGCAAAAAGAGCAAGGGAATTCCTTTAAGAGCTAGTACCTCTGTCATTTTTACAGGCACTGATGAATGTTAACTGAATCTTGGTCTGGACACGATTCTTTGTCGCGGAGCAGAGTCGGGGCTGCATCGCAACAATGAATCTACACAGCCCCGACTCTGCCCTGCAACATGAATGGACTCAAAGAATCCCAGTGCGTACTAGGCTTAAGAAAGATTGTGACCCAAATTTGTGATGCTTTTAAATTAAACTATATTTGTCCATTCTCTCCCCCACTTAATGTTTTTATTCTTTCCTTTAAAATTCTGAGTTCTTGAATTTTTTTGTATTTTAGATTACTAGAATGTTCAGAGTACCGAAGTTCAGATTAAGGAAAGAGCACTGTATCTGCATTTAATTAATGCAATTAGATTATAATAATAATTTTATTTATGGCCCATTCGAAAGTTCAGACGATTAGAAATAAGAACAGTTTTCCTTCTGCAACTCTGCTTCAAATCTTAGTAAAAATAAGTTAAGAAATATGGTAATAAAACAGTAAAATATCACAGATTCTACATGATAAAAAAATTGGCCTGTTAAGATGGTCCAGAGTGTGAGCTTATGTGTTTGTCCAATCTCCTGTTTCATTCAAAGCCTTATTGGTCAATTGTTCGATTTCATTTAACAACTGTTCCGTTTCCAAATCCATGCCCGCTGGGTCGCAAGGGTCCCATTCGAGCGAATCGGACGGGCTGGCTTCCCCACAGCCGGAATTCGAGGATACATCTTCCACAACCGAGTTACATTGGCTTTTGAATTTGTACGTATGGGTGAATACAGCTAAATTTGAAATTAAATTAAAAATTGAACAAAATGTTACAATATCGCTGTATATCTGTATTTACCTTCGTTTTCCCATTCTAAGTCTATTGAACTTGGAGGGGTGCCTGATGAACAACTGACTTTCCTCTTCTGAAGAGCCCGAGTGGCAAGTGTGTGCGCGTCGAGTGGAAGAAGCTGTGCACCTCTAAAGAGAAAAATCGTGACATAAATAACAAAAGCTTACTAATAATTTATTTTTGAAAAAAAATCCATACTCTAAATCCTCATTGTGAAGATTTTCCAGTAAACATTGTTCTGATTTGGTAATTAAATTTTTCTCTAATTTTCTCCTCCCCCAGCTTACCTATAATACCAAAGCATATATACATATTAAGAATCCATAAGCATAAAATACCAAGATAGCCCTTGGTTAAACATCCTATAAATTTTAATCCAAATAAGCTGTTTTGTTCATATTAAACATATAAAGTTAAAAATCGATTAGGTTCTACTTACAATTACTCAAATTAAGACAGCACTATTTTTCAAAAAATAGACCAGAAACCTCTTAACATTATTAAAGAAAACTAAAAATTAAAATAAAATGAATGAAGCAGTTTGATTATATAACAAAACAAGGCAATTTGATACAAAGCAGTTAGTTGAGGAAATGAGATGGAAGATATATGAAATAGGAAATAACCAATTATTTTGCCAAGAAAAGAATGTGCAACATGTTTTGATGCATGTTTAATACCATTGTCCATTGATATTTTTGACGCTACAGATTTTTAGTTCTTACATTTAAATTAAAACTTTTTTATATTAACATGAAAAAAACCAATAGACCCATAGTTTTAAATGAGAAAAACTTACATTTCAGTTATATAAACAAAAATGTTTTTACGCCTATTGTTTAAATTGCATCAAAATGAGATTTTCCACAAAAAATTGACTTATTTCATTGACCGACACCAATTGTACCTACACGTGTGCAACTGAACTGTTATGAGTGCAAGGGAATTATGTATACAGGAGAAAAATGAAGTGCTGTAGGCTGTGTGATGAAATCATCTGCATATTTTCTTTTCTTTTCTTTTTTTTTTATTAGAAACTTACCTTGGACAACTTATCGTAGGGATTGTTCAACGGTAAACTATATCCATGAATGCAAAGAAATAGATTTATTACATAAAATACAAGTGTTACTTCTAGTTTGTATCTAATGAATCAACTAGTCTTCTAATTTTTTTAAAGAACAATTATCTGTTTGGGGAATGGTAAAAGGTCAAACTTACTTTCCAGACATGGTCCACACATCTGAGGAATCTTCATTTTCCTAAAACAAAACAAAAATGAAATACTTTTTCTTTTTAGTATAATTAAAAACAAAAAATGTTATTTGTTGTAATTAATAAAAAAAATATATATATATTTCTGTTAATATATGCACGTCTTTGTGATAGAACCTCATAACAGATTGTTGAGGTAAATTCAAACAGCTTTTAGTTAGATACAGCTAAAAGCTTTTTGAATTTACCTAAACAATCTACAAAAATATATGAATGAATGAATAATAGTATTTATTTACATGGAATACAACAAACTCAAAATATGTTACAAAATACTTTATGGCATGGACAACAGTCCGTCAGCCGGAGTACAAAAATATATGTTAGCACTTACTGTCATCTCATCTGCATCAGCATTGACTAAGAGTTGAAGCTGAAATTTTACAAATCATTAAATTTGACGTTTTACAATTTTCAAAATAAATGCAAAAGAGAAATAAAATCATACCTCAATTGTATCCTCGTTTCGCATGTAAACGCATTTATGAAGTGTGACGTTCCTAACAACAAAAATAAACAGATCACAAAAAAATACAAACTATTGAACTGAACCGTACTCTAAATCAGTGGTTCCCAAAGTGGTCCCTACGGACCCCCAGGGGTCCCCGGTATCATCAGGGGGTCCGTGGAAAATTAAAATTGGTTTGGGGGTCTCCAAACAACATCAGGTTGGGAACCACTGCTCTAAACTGTGCAAGAGAGAAAAAGAAGTTAGAGAGAGAGAGAGAGAAAAAAGATTCGATATTTTATATACAATTGTTTTACAAACAGCCAAGTTGTATGGGTTGATATTTTAAAAATTATTAATTAATTATATAATGTATAATAATGATATATAATAATTATTAATAATATATAATACATAATTATATTTGATAATATTATTACAATTTATTAGACAAGGTAAGCAGAAAAAGCATCTTTAAAAAGTTTAATAATTTCTCTTTCTGCTCGTTTGACATTTTTAAGTTTATTATTAATTGAATAAATGTTAAAATAACACTAGATGATTATTTAGTGGAAAAGCCATCTCACACCTTTAGATTAGTCAGTTTGTTAAAAAACCGTGACAAAATGTTTAATTGCGATTGAATTTGAGTGGAAACTACACTGCAGGCAAAACACGTTTGGTAAGTCATTTATGAAGACTCCTTTTTGGTGTAATGTCTGGTTAAGTGATCCAAAATATTTTGATGCACCGGCACCATAATTAATTGGCGTCTGATTATGCTATTCAATGGAATATTTTTTCAAGTGTCACATCATACAATTCTTGGTTCTTCCAATTGCTTGTGTGGTTAAGTTAAACTAACAATTTTTGTTTTCTCACCTCTGACAATTTATCTACAACCTTGGTCCTCAGGTCTTCAACCTTGTTAATAATAACATCCGCTGTTTCTTGAAATATAGAGGCATGAGACATAGACAAATGACTCAAAAAAAAAAAAAAAAAAAAAAAAAACAATGACTAATTCTGTCTGGAGCAGACTGAAGCAGAACATTCGACTTTGCCAGTGTGGTTTCTCCCCACTTGAAACTATACTAAAATGGTATTTCTGGTTTGCTTCAAACAGCCTGGAGAAACCTCAGGATGTAATACTTACGTATAATTTGGTTGTTTCCCTATCGTACTCATAAGCTACTGCTGAAGATGGTGAAATGACTAGTGATGGTAGACAATGATTAAAGGTTAAAACATTTTTACGACTTTCCTCACCCTGACTAATATTGGTCTATTGTGTAATCTCAATCACTGTCGAGAGCTCTTTGTTAAGTTTAAGGCTTTTTATCAGATTCCAAATCTTTATTAAGAGCTCCTATGTGTATCCTTCAGATCTAGGCTATTACTCACTCAGGAGTAGGAATTTCAGCTTGACTGGAAAAAGTCAAAACACAGACAAGGTAAAACATGTTTAGTAATGTGTGGTGATTAGTGACCATTTGTCGATGATTATTCAGAAATCGTGAGATGCGGTCTGATGTGATGTAGGTTTCAGAAAAACATTTTCTTTATCGTGTCAACATTTCGATCTTTCAATTAATTACGGTTTTAGTTGAGATAAAAAAGTCAATGGCACGAACGGGATTCGAACCCACAATCCCGCTCGTGCCAATGACTTTTATCTCAACTAAAAACCTTAATTAATTGTAATATATTAATTGGTCAAGCGGACCACGAAATTAATGAATTTCAATCTTTATTGAGATCATCTTCTTCAGGGTCTGGGATTTACAAACATTGTTTAAATTTAACAAAAGCATGTAGGATGTGGAAAATAGTGAATTCATACAATGCAAATAAATATTTTTTATATTCAATCAAAGTATTTTTACTCACTCAAAGTGTTTGTCTTCTGCATAATTGTGCCATTCTTATTAATTGTGCCATAATTACGCAGAAAAAAACAACACTTTGAGTGAGTAGAAATACTTTGATTGAATATAAAAAAATATTTATTTGCATTGTATAAATTCACTTTTTTCCACATCCTACATATTTTTGTTAAATTTAAACATTTGTAAATCCCAGGCCCTGAAGATGATCTCAATAAGATCAAAACGTTGTCACGATAAAGAAAATATTTTTCTAAAACCTACGTCACACCAGACCGCATCTCACAATTTCTGAATAATCATGTTTAGTAAGTTTGTGATTAGTCCTTTTTGGTGTATGGTTTTGTCATGTGACAAAATTACTATTAATTGCAAAATTATTACATAGGTGTACCCAAAATATTTTGATGTACAGGTGCCATAATTAATTGGCGACGTGACTTCTGATGATTGTATTTAGAAGTGCCACCTTCATACCACCAAGTCGTACATTCTTCCTATTGCTTGTATAGTTAATTTATCGGATCTCCAGGCCATTTATGTGTCTTACTCCTGCTGAGTACCTTTCCTTTCAAGTACGTAAATTGATAATTTAAAAAGGAATGTCTGAACAACTCTCCTCTTGAATAAATAAGTAAATTCTTTCCCTATCGTTAATCTCTACATACCCCGTATCAATCCTTTTTTCCTACAGTACTCATCTTATCTTTAGTTATTCAACTGTACTCCTGTTCTCTACCTTTTCATTTTTTATTTTAATTATTCTACACTGACATTTTTATTGAACAAAGCATAAGGTATAATGTATGGTAAAACAAACAAAATTTACAATGAGTCATCATACCTTTTCTTGGGCCTTTTCTTAAAAAGCCCGAAGCAAGCACCCATTCCAGGGTCTTGCTATTCCAATCCAGGACAAAAGTTTGAAACATTGATGTGAAAATTTTTCTTCTGCCTTATTCCTCACTTGATTTCTACAAACAGCCTCTTTCATTAGACATAAGTGTGTACCAGGGGTGTGGACGATTTAAATAAATAAATAAAAGCATGAATTGGAGTCAAGTTAGAGGGGAGAACTTTGCTAACGATGACAAAAACCAAAAAACAAACTGGGTGCACGAGGAAAACAAGAACCCTTGGGTTTTTGTTGTCAGTTCACTTGGGGAGCATAGCTTGTCATGAAAGCTGTCAAAACCCCAGAGGAGCATTAGCGCATCCTATGCTCACATTGCTTGGCGCCCAAATTCATATTTGACCACATTAATTCAAACAATTATTTTATACACAAATATCTATTTATATATATATTTTTTAAAAAACACCTAAACTGCTTTGCTTTATTAGAAGACTAGCTATCAAAATTTGTCCTTTTTTTGGATTTCTAGTAAGTATAAAGAGAAAAGATAAGGAATTTTGTGTAACAAAAAGGCAAGCATATTACATAGCAAGAGGAGGATCTGCAGGACTATAGACCCTGAAACTATTCTTGGGATAACAAAAGCAACATAAAATCCATACCATCTCAGAATGGAGAAGGTCAACTCTAGCAGTGCTAGACCCAGTTTATGTTAAAACTACTCTCCCCAAATTGACAGTTATGGAAATTAAAGAGTCAATTATTGACGTCCAGAATAAATACAAGAATGTAAGCGCAAAAGTGAGGTACTTGGAAAGGGATAATAGAAAGCAAAATTTAATAATTTTTGGAGTGCAGAATGAATTCATTGATTATTGGGAACAAGGAGCCTTTGTTCGTGACTTTGTAAATAAAAAGCTGGAGTTAAACCTAACACTCTCCGATTATGACTTTGTGAGAAGAATTGGTAAGAGCGAGAAGGACAAAGCCAGGCCAGTTTTAATTGAACTCACACAATTCCGCACTAAATTACTTATTGTAAAAAATAGTTCCAAGTTAAAAGGAACGAATATTTTGATAGGTGAAGACTTCCCAAAAGAAGTAGCTGAAACACGCAGAACAGCCGGCATTAATCGCGAAGAGAAGGAAAATTTGCAATTTTAAAGTATAAGTTGATAATTAGAGAGTCCTCCACTAAAAATGGCAATAAAACGTTCGATCAGCTTAAAAAAATACCATTAATAATTCACCCCATCTGAAAATGAATTAAACACAAAAATCATTAAGGAACATAAAAGAACCAAACCAGATGTTACATGGAATCAAAAAATTGAACTAATGTCCAAGCCGCCTAGTATTTCAGGGGACAGTGCTGGGGATGCCAGAGAAAACACAAACACAGCAGGGAAAAATACATCTAAAAAGAAATAGCAATCATCAGTTGACACGGATTTGGATATATCGGCATACAGCATTCATGGCTTGAAGAATAAAAAAAAAGTAAGAATTTTTTTAACTACCTCAAGAACTTCGACATTATTTTCCTCTTTGAGACCTTCATAGATGCTAAGGATTAAGAGGACTATTCATCAACCTTTCAAGATTTCCAGCTATTATGGATCCCAGCAACAAAAGAGGTGAAATTTGGGAGAGCATCGGAAGGCTGTCTATATGGCATTAATATAAGAAGTGTGGCAGTAAGGTATATTTCTTTTTGTAAAATTAAAAACATAGATATGTTAAATGTTAAAACAAATAAGTATGTACATTTATCTAGTGGAACATGCATTTCAACAGACTGTTTAATTTAGTATCAGATAGTAATGATTTAAACATTGTTATGATTGGAGATTTTAATGCTAGAATCGGTACTTGGCAGCAAATCCCAGAAAAATACTTCACTAGTAATGATAAATTGATTAACTCGAGTAGAAATTCCAAAGATGTAACGGTAAATGTAAAAGGAAAAAAGATATTGGAAATACTTGATAATTTTGGTTATGTAATATTAAATGACAGAATGGATGGCAAGATTTTTCCTTATTATTATTATAGATTACTTTTACTTTTATTATTTCCATTTACTTTAGTTTAGTTTATTTTATTATTGAGTTATATGCATTATAGGTAATCATAAATAAGAGATGTATATATTTGCAATAATTTTTCAGCTATTATTATATAATTATGTTGTATTATTACATTACTGAAATTTTTGAAGAAAGTGTATATTCCTTTTGTAAATACTAATTATAATTACTTGTAAATACTAATTATAATTACTTGTAAATACTAAAAAGAGAGATTTTAGTTATATAAGTTTATCTGCTAGACTCCCTCAGACAGTTTTAAACCATAAGGAACGTCTTTCTTGCTCTGCAACATATACTGCCGATTTGTAAACTTTGTATTATATTAAGAAATAAAGACATATAGTAGTAGTACTCTCCCCAAGGCAAACTCACTACTACAGAGATGGCTAAATTCAGAGGAGTACCTACAACTATATACCGGTCACTGGCAACTGAGAAAACATCTCATTATTGTAGGTAATGCAATGAGGAGGAATCAGCCACACATGGCTTCTTCGAATGTGAATGGAGACTTAACTCAGGATATAAAGAAAACCCAAGGAAGTTAGCAGCAATGACTTAGCCCTTCTTAAGAGAAGGATTGAATCGATTGCACTAAAGAACTAGAAAAGTACAATAAGTCGGAAGGCTGCAGGGTCATCATCATTGAATAATATAGATGTCTAGTTCCATAAAATGGACCTGACTCGTAGAAGAATCATTCTCACACAACTAAGAATAGGCCATGCATGTACATCTAACTGAAAAGTGCAAACGCCACCATTCCTGTTATTAATTTTCAATTTTTCCTTCATTTATCTGTCCTAAATTTTCAAACCATTTCAAAATGTATATCATTCAAATCTATTTGTTGAGGTATTTTTTCCTATACAATTATTTCACTAGGTAATCCAATTCAGTGTGTTCATAAAGACACAATAATCATATTTTTTTCCAGGATATGGACTAACACAAGTCAAGGCTAGTTTGACAATAAATTTGAGCAGATATGAATATAATTTTACTATTTTGTTTTTCAAAAGATATAAACGCCAAGTAACAGATAAGCTTTACATTTTTATTATTAAATGACCTTCAAACACAATGTGTCATTTAGAAGCTTTATATTTGTAAGTGGAGTTTTCACACAAATAAAATTTCTCAGGGACATTAAGAAGTAATACAAAGCAAATTACGTGTAAACAAATCTCAAGAACCAAATTAGAAAGAAAACAATTCCCTCTATATTAAAAAACACAAGTTCATGGATATTTATCAACTCTTTTACCTACCAATTTTTGAAAAGACAAATATTAAATAGTTTTAACTGCAACAGCAGAGATCATATAAACTCTTAGGGTGCCGGTGTTTTTGAAAAAAAGCCCATTTGTCCGTCGGGTTCAAACCATACAGTGATGAACGCCAACGATCAACGCCTAAACCGTTGTTGCCACTGATGCCTCTGCTATTAAATTGTTTTATATTTATTATATAATATTAATATATTTTTTATAGTTTTAATAATTAAATTTAAAAATGTCATAATAAAATAAATACATTTTTCCTTGCATTTTTCAATACTATAAATACTTATTTCAAATCTGTGTAAGTAAAAAAATTGGATTAACATTAGTTTAATGGATGGAACATAATCATACAACAATAATGAAAAAAATATTCACAAACTAAAAAAATATTCACAAACTAAAACAAATAAATCACAAGTAAAGCTGCTTTAACAAAGCTGAATTGATTTTATATTATGTAAATCGAATGAAATATTTGCAGAAAATTTTCATATCAAAGCGTTCAAGTCTTTTACCTTTTGACCAGATTATTTAACCAAATAAACACTTCAAAGAATAGCCAAAGATAACAAATAAAAAAAAAATCCAAGCCCAATGTTAATTACTCGCCCTATTGAGAAATATTACAAAATAATATAAATAAATTTTATTAAACATTATTTTGAAATGAATGTACTTAAAAATTTTAAGATGAGATACCATGTTGATTTTCAATAACAGTGAGCAAAAGAAAGGATACTATCATTTTATGAAAAAATATCATAAAAATATCGAACTTCACTACTCCAATCATTCCAGAAATCAAAATTGGAAAAAAAAATCAAAAAGTCAGCATTTTAAAGGAAACAAATTAAACATTATTTAAAAATTATTATCAATTATATTTTACAATGATTATTACAATTTATTAGGGAATGTAAGCAGAAAAAATATTTTCAAAATTTTAATACTTTCTCTTTTGACGTTTTTAAGTTTATTATTAATTGAAAAAATGTTAAAACCACACTGGATGATTATTTAGTAGAAAAGCCATCTCACATCTTTAGAATATTGGCTTAATTTTTATTCTGTTGTCTAAACACATAAGAATTGCTAATATAAAAGGAAAGGTTTAGGCTCAAAATTAGTCAGTTTGATTAAAAAACCAAGACAAAATGTTTGATTGCGATTGAATGTGAGTAGAAACTACACTGCAGGCAAAACACATTTGGTAAGTCATTTGTGAAGACTCCTTTTCGGTGTATAGTCTGGTTAAGTGAAAAAATTACAATATTATGGGTGTACCCAAAATATTTTGGTAATAATTAATTGGCATGGCTTCTGATGGTGCTATTCAATAGAATATTATTTTTAAGTGCCACAACATACAATTCTTGTTCTTCCAATTGCTTATGTAGTTAATTTATGTAGATCATGAATTTTCCAGGATTTATTTTGTTCAATGAATCCCCTCATTTCCCTTCACTGCTTAAACATGAAGTCTACATTTTTCTTGCATCAGTATAATATTCCTGATGCTTAAAAATGTGTGAAAAATGTTAAATAAATTTTAAGAACTGATTGTTACTAGTATTATTAATTTTTAAGGGTGTTTTAACAGCTAAGGTCATTTCACACCAACTGATTGTTTAAAGAAAAATTGAATTACAATAGGTTTTGTGTATGAAATTATAATAAAGTATAATTTTTTTTGTACTTATGAATTTTTTTAGACCCTGTGTAATCCGAATACTCCCCTGTGGCAATTAGTATTTGCTTATTTTTGTTTTTAAATTCTTACCCCACCCAGGGCTGTATATAAACTAAATATATAATATATACTAAATATATAAACTATATTTAGTATAGTTAAAAATTTTTTATTTATTAAAATTATGAAAAACCTGGATTTTTAATGATATCCAGGGTTTCAAAAGTTTGGCTTGGGATGCACATGGATATGGGATATGGGCAGCCTAAATTTTTTAGGCAAATTTAGTTTTCCTATTTAGTTATCCCTAATATTTCTGGGATATTATGCCATTTTTATGCTTATTTTTGTTTTTCAATTCTTGCCACATCCAGGGCTGTATACTTTTAGTATAGTTACAATTTTTTTTATTTATTAAAATGTGGACTTTTAATGTTATCCAAGGTTTCAAAATTATTGGATATGGGCAGCCTAAATTTATCCCTGATATCGTGCCATTTTTATTCTTTATGGTTTTATTGCCAAGTTAAAAATTTTCATATTTTCCATTTGCATCACACACCTTTAGAATATTGGTTTAATTTTTATTCTCTTGCCTGAACACATAACGAAGAGTATGTAATACCCTGAAATTATCAGAGTAAAATCTGAAATAAATCTGAAAAACTGATTTTTTTTAAAGAAAAATTGAATTATGATTTTTTTTTTGTGTGCGTTTGAGTGTTTGTACATGTGTGTATACGTAAAATCTAAAAAAATTAAAAACTGATTGTTTAAAGAAAAACTGAATTGTGAAAGGTTTTGTATATTAAATAATAATAATTTTTTTTTGTATATGTGTATTTTTTACACCCTGTGTGATCCAAATACTCCCCTTGAGCAACTACTTTGGAGTAGTTCCTTTTTTTGCTTATTTTTGTTTTTCAATTCTTGCCACACCCAGGGCTATATACTTTTAGTATAGTTACAATTTTTTCTATTTATTAAAATTATGAAAAACCTGGACTTTCAACGTTATCCAACGTTTCAAAAATTTGGGATGCACATGTTTATGGGATATGGGTAGCCTAAATTTATCCCTGGTATTGTGCCATTTTTATTCTTTATGGTTTTATTGCCAAGTTAAGCTTCATTTCAGGTTTTCCATTTGCACAATGCTTATTGATTAACATACAGAATACATTTACATAACATTTGTCTTTTATCTGTGACTCAAAAATTGCAAAGGTGGAAAAGTGTGGAGGGAGTTGCCATGGCAAGAGAAGGGAGAAGAACCGTAATAAAACCTCAAAACTTTCAAACGTGCCACAGTATGACAGCCCTGGGGCACACATTCCAAATGGCAGTTTTGTGTTAATTAAATTAATTATTGCTCATTACCTCAGGGAAACCGTCCCGTGATATTGTTTTAATGTATTTTATAATTTAAATCGACTGTGGTAGTACACTTAAGTAAATTGATTTGTGATAATGTACTAGGTGGTTTAGTTCAGTTACCAGGAAAAGAAAAAACAAAAAAGATAATTTATAATTTGCCTTGATAAATAACTCATAAATTCTCTAGTTATGTCTTGTGTGATTTAAAGCATTTATAATTTTAAAAATAACAAAGAAATTTAAAAAAAGATGGCTCGTATTGCTTTTGTTGCAATTTTTCTAGCATGCTTTCAGCATCCGTTCGCTTTGCCATCCGGTCCGAATAGGAACAAGCTGGTCGTAGTGTCTTTCGATGGGTTCCGGTTTGACTTTTTGGACAGGAATATAACGCCTAATATTAACCGTGTGGTCAGCAAGTCGACGGTTGCCCAGGTGGTCATTAATGTTTTCCCGACCCAGACGTTTCCGAACCATTTTTCAATATCCACCGGCTTGTACGCTGAGAACCACGGAGTCCTCCAGAGCAAAGTGTACGATGCTGAGCGAAAGAAAGTCCTCACGTACGGATACGACTTGTGGCACTACGACGACTCCATTGTACCAATTTGGGTATGATATTTATATTGTAAATTGTATAACTTTGTTAAATTAAGTTTTTTTAATTATAAAATAATCGCCTTTTCTTTAGTATTGAACAGCCAAGAAATCCTTGACTGACTGTACTTTTTTTGTAACTTTATATAAAAAAAAATTTCCTTTAATTTATTATCAGGCTGCCCGCTTAATCTAATTTTTTACAACAGATTGGCGAGATATGCAGATAACACTTTCAATTAAAAATTCCTTCAATAAAACAATAGAGATAACTTTTTTTCTTGCCAATGTTAAAGAGATAACTACATTTGAACATAAATTAATTATTGTTATGATAATTTGTTGGATTCTTGACTACCGGTGAAGAATGAGGTAGTTTGGAAAAACACTTTTTTCATTTTTTTGCTGACGTTTCGACCTTTATTTGGACCATCTTCAGGGCATAAAGTGTGGTGCTAGTCTTGTGGCGTCATATTGGTTTTGTGCAAATGCGATATGACACCACAAGAATAGTGTCACACTTTTCGCCCTGAAGATGACCTGAATAAAGGTCGGAACGTCGGCAAAAAATGAAAAAGTTGTCTTTTATAAACTATCTCTTTTTTTGACCACTACTCATGAATCTAAGCAATTATTAAACAACCGGCCACTAAAAAAACAAACATCATTATAATAGTTTATTTTTTATTTATTTGTATAATTTTAATTTACTAATTTGCTATTAATTTAATTTTATGGTATATTGTTTCAGTTTTCAAACTCTTTTAGCAAAAAAAAAAACAAGATAAAAATAATTAATGATATATTAATTGAGAAATATTTTAGCCTGTTATCATGGGATAAATAATTAATTTACATAATTTAACGTGCATTGTTTAATTTATCTTGTGACTGGTATATTTCATGAACTTCACATTGTCTTTTTCTTTTCACTTTTTAAGCAGGTACCTATTTTCAAGCTAACAGATGAAAATTCATTTATTAATAACAAAATTACATAAAACTATACATATAAATTGCAAATGCAAAAATCATTATATACAAATTGTACGAGTATAAATTAGAGCTTTATCTCATGTGGGCTGAGAAAAAAAATGCACTACTGTTCATTATGAAGGCTACCGACAATGGAGTCATATAAGTCAGCCCTCTCACTCAATCACCCAGACATTACGTACATTATTTACAATATTTAAAGATGGGGAGACACCCTTATCAGAACAGGGGGTCCAACAAAATACTCTCATGCCTAAGCCTTTAAATCGAGTGCTATGCCTACTCACTCCCTATAAGGTGCCAAGGCCTGGCACTATTCGACAAAGTGTGACACTGATAAACTTTTCTCTATATGCAGAACACCTGCACGGGGTTTGCCTCAAAAGCAGGTGTCTGTGTCAGTCGGGTATGGCCTATCCTCATAGGTGAGATCCCTTCCTTGCAGCAAAATGCTGATTATTAAATTTAATTATTATCATTATAATAGTTTTTAAATATATGCAATTTTTTTTTGTAAATTGCAGATATTAAATGAAAAGCTTGGTGGTGTGAGTGGAGTTAGTATGTGGCCTGGGTCAGATTTTTCTTACAACAATACAAAGCCAACCCACTTCCTTCTGTACAATACTAGTACACCGTTTAAAGAAAGAGTCGATGTTGGTATATCATGGATGACAGACAAAAGAAATCCAGCCAACCTGGTTTTACTTTATTTCGAAGAGCCGGACAGACATGAACATGCGTACGGGCCTAATGCCACTCAAACCAATGCACAGATTCGACGCGTTGACGATGTTGCCGGGTACCTTATGAAAAAGTTAAAACAAAACGGCCTCGGCGACACAAATGTGATATTCCTCAGCGATCACGGGATGGAAAGTGTGGCTAAAAACAATATTATTAATTTGAATGATTTTGTGGGCTCGAATGCAAAAATGTACGGATCATCGCCAGTCCTCCAGGTCTATCCAGTTGTTGGTAGGTTTAGTTTGTTTAATTTTTTAACTCGACATTTATTTGACGGTTTTGAATTTCTTCAGGTAAAGAAGACGAAGTATTTAATGTCTTAGATAAAAAATCAAAAGAACTGAAAAACTTCAAAGTGTACAAAAGAAATGACATTCCGGATTCGTTTCACTATAAAAAATGTAGGCGAGCTCCACCAATCCTAGCTCTTGCTGAGCCAAAATACGCTTTTCAGGATTTGTACGAAAACATAAAATGGTATATAGAATATTTCAATGGTAAGCTAATTTAATTAATATAAGTAATTTTTAAATCCTATTTTTACAAAACTTAAGTTACTTTAACAAATTTCATTTGATTTTAGTGACAGGAGATGGACCATTTGGTGTGCATGGATACGATCCAGAAACAATTAAGATGCATCCCTACTTTTTAGCGATAGGTCCAATGTTCAAAGAGAATTTCAGAGCACCGAAGATTTTTACAGTGGATCTGTTTTTACTGTTCGCTCGAATCCTGAATTTAGACACATCAGGGATAAAGCAGGATGGATCGTTTGATAGGATAGAATCAATTGTTAATTCAGGGGCACTCAAGCTTCAGAATTTTGCCCTGGGTTTGTATTTTATTCCAGCTTTATCGACAATTTATAATATAATTAAATTTTAAAAGAAACACTAGCTAAAATGGTAACTGTTGCATGTTTTGATTCTTTGGTAACTTGCTTTTGAGTTTTATATGCATGGTTTTGCACATTTTAAATCGTGTGTGCTCACTCTAATAATATAGCACAGCTTTTTTTTTTTTTTTTAATTTTTTTATGTAATAAAATGTAAATAAATGTTTAATTTCAGCCTCACACTTATAGTAAGGAGAATTTCACCAAATGACGGAAACAAAACTCATTTTTTTGCTGTTGATACTTGCACTCATTATTCATTGCTTATGAGCACAAACGAAAAATCTTCGTTTTCACTAGCACTACAAGATACATCACTTTCATAATTTTTTCTGTATATTTGCACGCATGTATATAGCCTAATAACATAGTTTTGCTTTATTACAACAAAATCTGATTCTGACATGGTTGCGGTGATTGAATATTTTATCTTTTTTTCTTATTATAAATTAATTAAAAATATAATAATAAATGTTATGGTTAATTGGAAGAAAATTAACAAATAACACGAATGGATTTGTTGTAAATGTAAATATTTAATAATAGTGTTGTATATAATTTATTATGTGTATGCAGAAAATAAATTTTGCTTACTTAAATTGAGTTTCCTTTAGTTTGCATTTAGCTTTGGTCATCCTTTATTCCAATAAAATATTTTTCACAATGGTAAAGAGCAATTTTGAAAAATGTTTTAATCAGTGAGAATTTAAATGTTACTCTACGACAAACCGACTTGTTTGTATTATTTCATAGTCCAAACACAGACATTATTAAACACAGTAATGTAAAACCTGTGCTAACAGAACTTAAAAAAAAACAACCTTCAAATGAAAAAGGAGTGAACAATAAAAGGCATTTTAGGGAAAAAAATTATATTACTCTTGACAAATTTGTTTCATACTTTGACATTTACATTGTAACTTTTCTATGACGGATTATCGTGAGGAATGATATATTGTTCGCTATACAGAGGTGTCCATTTTTGGGATAAGAGTGAAAAAAAATTAGTTTTACAAAGTCACAATGGGCAGTACAAGATATCAATAGAATTTTAACTTTTCTATGACAAGAGGGTTTTTCACCGAGCATACTTTTGCATAGAAGCAAAGTTAAAATTTGAAACTTTTCCTCTGTGCCAAAGCTCATTTTGTAACAGTTTGTACATCTTGGATGTTCTAAAAAAGTAAGGGTCTCTGCAATTAAAAACGTTTTTGGGTTTAAAATCAGTATGGTGTTGTTTAAGTTTTTCCATCCAGTTGTGTACAACCTCGGTCCTTCAGTGGTTATGGCGTTCAACTCATATTTGCCACACTAGCTGCTCTATGTCTGAATCTTAGTGTTTTTTTAAAATTAAGAATAGTATGAAAAAAATAGTGTAAAATGTTTTGACTCTTTGTCGTTTAGTTTTTCTATATGACTTAACTCTACAATCTCATTCATTCTGAAGACTGCAGCCAAGTGGTTAGGGCGGTTGATTCATATTTGCCACACTAGCTACTCTAGGTCTGAATCTGAATTTTTTGGTTTGAATTTTTTTTTTTTTAATTAAGAATAGTATGAAAAAAGGAGTGTAAAATGTTTTGACTCTTCATCGTTTAGCTTTTCTATGACTTTGCTCTACAATCTCATTCATTCAGGAGACCGCAGCCAAGTGGTTAGGGTTTTTTAATTTTTTTTTTTGGTTTTTTAATTGAGAATAGTATGAAAGAAGTAAAATAGTTTGACCCCTCATCGTCAAGCTATCCTGTATGACAGGAATTACTTTACAACTTCGGTCCTTCGCTCCATTAATGGTTTTGAAAGACATCTTATATCTAAATTTATCATGCCAACCTGAAGATGCTTTAAAATCAATTTGCCCTAAATGTCTTGCAACTTCTAAGGCATTTTCTCGGATAAGCAGACTGGACAGTGGTAAGTCCGAGCATGGCAAAACCATTCACACACATCCTGGTTTATAGCCATTTTAAAAAAAAGTCTAGGTCATTTCCATGTTTGAAAAATTTGTCTAAAAGTTCCTTTTTATTCTTTAGAATTTCTTTTGTATAGAGGTTTTCCAATGGAAAACTGCAACCGTGTCTTGCATACTTAGTGTTTCACTTGTTTTAATTATATAGTTTTTTCTTTAATTATCGGACATACACAAAAAAGTACTTAAACAGTACATACAAAGTGGCATAATCTGGGAATATTTGGAAAATATTGGAAGGTGAATAAAACAGGAGAAACGGTTTTTCTCAGAAAAAAATTATTCTCTATTGGCTACTGTCCGTTTTTGGGAGAGTTTCATTCAGACAGAATATAGTCGAAAAAGCTGTCTAAGTTGTTATATTGTTATTGGGAGTTGCAACTTTATAGAAGGGTTTAATGGGAAGACGGGAAGAGATGTCCGTTAAGGGAAGTTTCACTGTATTCATTTTTATACTGAAAAGTTTCAAATACATTTAACATTTGTAATAAAATTGCTATACGACAGCGAAAAAGGAAAACATGGATTATGAAAAACAAGAAATTTATACAGTAGTAAATTGTATATTAGAAAAATTACCACTATATTTGAACTTGAGCCAAATTTCAAACCAAAAAATGCTATCGCTAGTTTTTAAGCTACCTATTATTTTAAAAAATCAATAAGAAACAACATACCTTTGGCATCCTCCTTGTTTAGAGAATAAATAAAAAATAACTATAATAATAATGTATTTTAGAACATTTGTTATTTATCAACTTTCTCCCTTTGATTAACCTAAACCAAAAATTGTGAATAATTTTATAGCTCCCTAATCTACATTTCCATGACTAATAAATTTGTCACAGTTTTAATGTGTGATAAAAATTGAAATTTATTCCACCTTAATTCTTACTTATTCAATTCTTATTTAAACAATGTTGCATTTATTATAGATATGCAAATGTCATTTTGTATATATTGTGTTATTTTTTTTGTATGCATCTATGTTACTTGTTTGTTTTATATGTAAAATTAGTTTTATTTTCTTTGCACTTGTCCCTTGAAGTTTTACTTTACCGTGGTTATTTTTACCGTAATTAAAAAATTAAAAATTTTTTTAACTTTTAAATATATGGTTTTTTTTAAACTAGGTCTTGGGTAAGATGAAAAAGCTAGTGTCACGAGTGGGATTCGAACCTACAACCTTCATCCCAACTTAACTAGAAGTCACGAAATCTCAATGGTTTGAGCAGCTGCGTATTGAGCTAAGGGTCGTGGGTTTGAATCCCACTCATGACGGTAGCTTTTTCATCTCAACTGAGACCTTCGATAAAAACTATGATTAATTTAAATACAGTCAATTATGACTATTAAATACATATATGGATTAATATTTAAATATATGACTGGGATTTGAGGTTATTTCCAGTAAAAAAATAAAAATCTCTCACTCATGTTTAATACATTTTTCTTATTTTTATATTTATTTTTAAATAATGGAAAAAATTTATCGTAAAAATTAGGCTGTTTTGAAAATAAAAAACTTAATGCCCTCAACCTATAAATATATTAATAATCAATCACTTTGTTCTTGTTAAATCAAATTAGTCAAATTAGTTAAGTCTTATTAAGTCAAATTAGTACACTCTTGAAGGTTCATATCTGAAATTTAATTAAAAGACGGAGATAAAAATGAGTAAAGTAGTTACTGTATGTTTGTGTATTCACAATTAATTAATATTAATTTTTTTGTCTAACAAAATTTTTAATTGAATTGATGTTGAAAAGAAAAAACAACCATAATTTTCCTCTGAAATGAATAAGAGAAAAAAATGTTTTACAATTTTAATTACATTTCTTATGTTGTTAATAACATTTTTATAGATTGGTTACTGATTATTTTGACCTGACTATAATCACTGGGTTTGTTTGTCAGATTTTTCGGCATTTCACCAACTTCAGGGCAAAATGCTGAAACGTCTGACAGACAAACCCACCGCGGATAGGCAGCTAATGAATATAGTTTTTATAGGTGTTGGTTGGCTAAAGCAAAATCAAAATTTTATTTAAATTAAAAATAATGCTACATAATTATGTTTGCTCATTGAAATTGAATATAACTTTCTTTTTACAGTGTTTTAATTAAATTGTAAATGTAATAATTGAAACATTGTTGCAGTGACTATTGCAGTTGGGATTTTGCTCCTGCTCGGAATTATTGGAATGGTTTTAGGAATCATTTATGTTAAAAAGTAAGCCCTAAAATTGAAGCCTCTTTTCATTCTTTGTTCTAATCCATGCTTAATTGTAGATATCTGGTTGTTAGCGACAATTCTGACTACATCAAACTTAACGTAGATGATGATGAATTGTAACAGTCAAAAGTATTTTTCTAGTAAGTAATTGGTTAATTTTCAATTTACATTAATTTGGTTTTTTCAAGATACAGTATTTTATATTACAATCATCAATTGGTGAGTTTTGCTTGAAGTTTAATTTCTGTAAGGGATGAAATCCAAAAGTTTGATTCAACCTCTCTACTATAGTCTTTATGTAAAGTACACCTTTCCTCCAGCTACGACACATAGGCACCTTTCTAGCCTGATTTGATGCATCTTTCTCCTGCTTTATGATCTGAAATCTTTAAATGTCACCTTCCTTTCACATTCTCTCAAGTTCGAGTTTTGTAGCCCTGTTCATCTTGAAGAAATCTCTTGTCTTAACCAATGTTTGAATCTTTTCAAGTTGGTCATCACATCGGACTTTTTCTTGTGTTATGTTCTTCAGTGCAATTTCAATGTAAGTTTCACTTGCATTTGATGGCCTTCTTCAGTTTTACTCTGCATTGCTTGAAACTGTAACTGTAAAACTACAGTTTTTTGACACCTGTAAAGAGCCCACAAGAGCCTGTCTTAAAAGCTGAAGAGTATATTTTAATTTAGTACAAAGTTGATATACTTCCTAAAGTCACTCAAATTGGCTTTCAGGTAGTTTTGCTCCATTTTAATCTGAGCCATTTGATACATTAACATATTAATCCCTTTTCTTACTTCATTTGGATTAACTTCTAGCAGGCTATCACTTGCAATTGAGCCATCACCATAAGACTGAGCCTATGATCTGACAAGATGGTCTTGCAGGAGAAAGAAGCTTGTAAGGAAGATTACACTTCAGTCAAGCTATTCGGCAAAAGTGGACAACTTAACCCATGTTGCTGCCTTCAAGGTGGAAAAGCCATGCATCCAATGCTGTCTTTCTTCAGATCCTCCAAAACCTTAGGTTATAGGGGTAGGGATAAAAGAGGAGGTCATAAGGCCTTCTGCACCTCAACCTGGGTAGATCTATTGTGCTCCCCTGTTTTTTATAACTCACTGGCTAGCTTCAGATAGTTAATCAACCTCCATAGCCTTGCCAGCAGCTCCTTAGTGTAGGATCTTGCTTGTGTTCTTGTCTTAGTTGCAACAACCTGCACCTACATAGACCTTCACAGAAACATAAAATGTGTTATGTTGTCTCCTCCTCTTCTTGGCAGTATCTACACAGTGTTTCTTCTTTCTGTACTCCTATCCAGTGCTCGTGCTTTTTTAAGTGGCAGTGCTGTGTTAGGAGTCCAACCAAAATCCTTGTTCTGTTACAGTTGCCCTACAGCAATTCCTTTGTAAGTTTTGTTGATGATTCTATAAATCTCTTCGCATGCCTCATACCTGTGGCATTGTTCCACTAGGTTTTGTACTAATTAAGGATCCATTTTAAGATGTATCCTCTTTTTTGGCAAGTTACTACGCCACAGTAGGGTTCAGGACTCAGAGAGTCCATGTTGGCTCCCTCTTTGGCCAAAATGTCAGCCTTTTTGTTGCCAATGTGCCCCGAATGCTCAGGGGCCCATGCTAGAGTCAGGTTATTCCATTAGACCTCTGTGCAGTCCCTAACATTCTTTGCCTTCACCTCGCATGAGGCTATGGTCTTTAGTGCTGCCTGACAGTCAGAGAAGATAGCTATCTTCTGGGAATGTATTCCTATCCTTTTTATTTCCCTGGCACAGTGGTCGCTATGATTTCAAACTGAAACACATTTACCTAGGTACTGTCAGTTCGGTCTTAAGATACAACCCAAAGACCCCAGGCCTGGGCCCTTGTCGGGTTTGGAGCCGTCCAAAACCTTAAGTTCTTATATCTGCTTGGTTGCATCAATAAGACAAATTTCAAGATTGTGGCTTGTGTCTTGGAGATTCCTCCTGGCCCTATCTCGTCTAGCCTCATTAAAAATGCTTCTTTTTCTCTGAAACGCTTTTCTTTATCATCACTCTTACTTCTTTATTTTCATTCTTTTTCTCTGGCATTGTCAAGTAAACTTTGGATAACTGGTGAACTTCTTTCTTCAGCTTGCCTGAAGTTGTCTCTCTTCTTGGGCTAATTGAAAAGTCTTGAAAAGAAATCTTTTGTTTATAAAGTCCTTTACTTATATCAAAACTATAATCATGGCTTTATATAACTTTAACAGTATGTGTCATACAATAAATGAACTTAAAAACTTTTTTTTTCAGGTTAAATTCCAAAAATGTCCACTTTTGTTAAACTGACTGCCATGTAGGAGCAACATTTAGTGATAATTTTTTCCAAAAAGATGCAATTGTGCATAGAAAGCTTCACGTAGTGAGAAATGTTCTATCTGTGATAATAAACTGATTCAATAATAAAATGAAAAACATTGTTGAAACAGGTGATTACGTTTTTATAGGAACTTAATAAAAATTAAAATGTATTATGTATCGGGGAGAAAAATTCCAAAATTGTCAAGCTTTTGGTCTATTTAATGTCTTCATCAGGACTACAATCTATAACTTAAATGAGAATAAATATCACAAAAAAAACAAAAAAAAAAACAACTAAACTCAGTTGTTGCATCTCTGATGTCCAGACAGATTCTAAAAGAAAATTTTTGATATTTGTTCTAATTACTAAGTCATTAAATAGACCAAAAGCTTGATAATTTTGTTTTCTTTTGGCTTCCTCCCTGATACTCGTACAACTACGACATATGCAAAATCAGAAGGCCAATAAAATAACTATTTCATTAGGCAAAATTTTGCATTTATTATTATTCAAATGTAAAAAAACCAGAATAATTAAATTTTAATGTATTCAACCCTACATTACACTTAATAAATAAAATTACCGTCCAGTAATAATTGACTGTGAATGAGAGGACTATTTCATTTAGTCTATTTGATAAATTCACTTGCACTTCTGTACTTTATGTTAAAATATGTACAAAAAAATATGTTGGCTGTGCAATATTAAATTATTATTTAATAATGAAAAACTATTTTAATGATTAATTTCTCATAGACCTTTATAATTTTTTCTTGAATTTTTTTTTCATTTTTGTTTTTTTACTGAGAGTATTATTTGTTATTTAATTTATGTTGCAATGGTTCACTGTGATGTTAACCGTAAGAAAAATTATAATTTTTTTTATTTTACATTTCACAAATGGTTTAGCTAATCGTTGACACTGATGATTTGTTACAAATAAAGTATGTTTTGAAATAGCAGTCTGTTTTTTAAGCCAGTCTTAGTGTGACTTAGAAAAAGTGGTTAAGAATTTTAAACAAATGTTTTTTTATTGGGCACTAAATCTGACAGGTCGCCAACCAGCAGGGAGTAAAGAAACATTTTCCAAAAACCTGGACGGCATGCAACAAGCGACTAGCCCTTAATAAATTAATGAAAGAGGTATTTAGTATGGGAAAGTTGTCACAAGATGTGGACATGGTTCAATGAGCTAAGGGCCACCATAAATTTGGAGGTCTAGGGATGTCTGTGTAAAGGAAACTCCTGAGTGTTATGACCAGATCATGATTAACCCTTGCATTAAGAGAGTTGTCCATCTGTCCGATAGTTTTTCCTCATTTATAAGGTCAGTGAGAGGACAGAGTCAGGGAGATGTAGTGAAATGAAATAGGCTTGATATTCTATTCAATGGATTTGTGAAATAATAATTGTTATTCAGAGTATCTATGCTTTTACCAAGTTTGTTTTCCTCTTCTTAAAACCATTATCAGACCCAAGTGGCCCCATTGCCAAGCACGGAGTGTGGCCCAGCCCTAAAGGGAAAGAAAGAGCTCAGACAGGTTGTAGAAGTTTCATTCAGCATGAAAAAGTGCAATGTCTCTTGGGAGATGAACATTGAAGTTTAAACTGTTTCTCCGGATCCCCTTTCCAACCACAAACTAGGAATTGAGCTATGACAGAAAAAGCATATCTCTGGGTTATTTGTGTGTCTTACTCCTACTGGTGTTGGCATTTTGTATGCAAGTAAGTATATTCATAATTAAGTAAAAATTCTGTGGAACTCCTCAGCAAGCCTAGTTACTTTTTAATAAACCTCTTGCTCAATTCCACCTTTCCTCTTTTCCCTTATAGGAACCAGAATCACCCAGATGGGGAAGGGGTGAGTGAAGAAACCCATCCAAGATATGTAATGATTATTTTGGATTATTGATGATTAACCAAATATATCTTTGGAATTTTCATAAATCGATGAGATAGTTAAAGTTAAGAGGGAAATAAATTCAATGTAAAAAATCGATTTTGTTTCTTATCATGCTAACATGTTAGTAGGTTTTTTGTTTACATTTCAGCATTAATTACTGTTTAGTGTCTCCTTTTGGCTTACATTGTGAGTATTAAATATTTAAAAAACCTGCAATGATAAAATAGTTATTAATTAGTATTCATGTTGACAGTTGTATTTTTGAAATATTAATTCTACTACACTTCCTAGATAAGTAAATTTATCTGGTATGGTCTTCCAAAGTTTATCATATATAGGGAAGAGAATATAATTCGATAATCATTTAATTAATTTGATGATGATTTTATCAATGTATAGGATATAAAGGACATTCTCATTATTATTAAGGCCCTACTTACACGAGGATATTCATATATGGTCACTTGCTGCCTGACATCCAGAAGACTGAGTGATTGGATGACTCAAGTAGCCCAGTACATTCACCTAGTCATGATTTGAACAGCTTGTCACCTTCACCTAGTCATAATTCTAGTATCACATTCACCTAGTCATGTTTTGAGTAGCTCAGCACCTTCACCTGGTCATGATTTGAGTAGCTCAGCATCTGCACCTAGTCATGATTTGAGTAGCTCAGCACCTTCACCTAGTCATGATTTGCGTAGTTCATCACCTTCACCTAGTCATGATCTTAGTAATCCATCACATTCACCTAGCCATAATTTGAGTAGCTCAGAACCTTCACCTAGTCATGATTTGAGTAGCTCATCACCTTCATCTGGTCATGATTTGAGTAGCCCATCACCTTCATACAATCACAACTCGAATAGCCCATCACCTTCATATAATCACGACTCAAATAGCCCATCACCTTCACCTAGTCATGATCTTAGCAATCCATCACATTCACCTAGTCATAATTTGAGTAGCCCATCACCTTCATATAGTCAGGACTCAAGTAGTCCATCACCTTCACACCGCCAGGACCGAAGCAGCCCATCACCTTCATATAGTCACGACTCAAGTAACCCATCACCTTCACTCAGTCTCTATTCAAGTAGCCCATCACCTTCACACCTTCATGGCTGAAGCAGCCCATCACCTTCTCCTAGCCATGACTCCAATAGTCCTTCATCTTTATACAGCCATGAATTGCGTAGCCCATCACCTTCACATAGCCATGGCTCCAGTAGTCCATTACCTTTATACAGTCACGCCTCAAGTAGCCCATCACCTTATACAGTCATGACTCGAGTAGCTCGTATTACCAATTTTTTTGCGGTTTGAATAGAAAATCAATCAGTTTTATACACTACATGTATTCAATCCCTAGGCAGTGCCTAATGATTCTAGTATTGATGATGGTATCATAATCCAGTACCACTAGCACAGAATGAGAAAAGTTGGAGTTGTCCATCCTTCATGCTATGCTCTCTCTTCCATATCCTTCATCAAATACACTTTCAACTTGTAATCATTTTAACACAAATTTTAAATTGAACATTGTTCATGGCACACGCTATAGGTACAATGCAATTGAGAGACTGGACGACTTGGATGCCAACATGACTGGTCCTTGAGTAACCGCGTGGGGCAACCCTGTACTCTGACTGACACACCACCTAATTATGCATGATGGTTCTTTTGGTCACTGAGTATCTCAGTCGCTCAGAGGTGAATACCTTGTTTGATTGACACCCCCTAATTAATCATGGCAGGGTCTCTCGGTCACCGAGTATCCCTGTGTGAGTAAGGCCTAATTGTTACAGTTTACTTATCAAACTTGAGTTTTTAATTTTTATTATTTAATTTGCACATTCAGTTCTTTTGATGTATTTTTTTATTGGCCTTTTGATGACACATTATTCAAGTATTGGGGAGAAGGCTAACTTTTTTAATCAACCAAGACTTTTGGCCTCGTTGGACTAGTACAACATCTTATTTGTATTTTTTAAAATATTTTTTTAGCTGTTGGTATGGGAAAACGTAAGGCTGAAGATATATCCAATCCGAATCATGATTTCTGTGAGTTCCTTCATGGTATGTAAAAAACCTGATGTACCAATTCATGAGTTTGGTTTAATGATATTATTATTGCTTATAGAGCTCGCTGATTATGAGAAGAATGTTAACAGGAATATCCACAAACACAATGCTTACAGGAAGGCCGCTCAGACGCTAGCAGCCCTCCCAAATCGCATCAAAAACGGCGAGGAGGCTAAAAAACTGAAAGGCATTGGAACTAAAATCGCCGAAAAAATCGATGAGTTCATGAACACTGGGAAATTGAGAAAACTCGACAATGTACGTTTTCGCTTTATTTGTTTTATATTATTTAAAAGGAATTTTTTTCACAGATTCGGAACGATGAAACATCACAAGCCGTCAATACTCTGACAAGAGTGAGCGGAATCGGACCGGCCAAAGCGATGGAGTTGTTCAACAGCGGCGTTAAATCACTCGAAGACTTGAAGAAAAACATGGACAAATTGACCCATCACCAACAAATAGGTCTTAAGTATGTTAACATAATCAATAAATTAAAAGTTTTTACTTTGATCTTTTATCACAATATACAGATACGTCGAAGACTTTGAAAAGAAAATCCCAAGGGCTGAAATTGAAGAAATTGAGAAATTACTTAAAGAAAATATTAAAAAGCTAGATGAAAATTTCATGACAACAATCTGTGGGAGTTACAGGTTTATAAATCAATAACCCTGATGTTTTATATTTATGTGCTTAAGTGTAAAAGATAAAAATAATATATTTCAGACGAGGTAAAGCCGAGAGTGGTGACATCGACCTTCTCATCACCCACCCCACGTTTACTTCTGAAGTGAACAAAAACAAAAATAAAACCCTACAAGCTAATCTTTTGAAAAGTATTGTTGAAACTCTAAAAAAATGCAAACTCATTACCGATACTATATCAATCGGCGATGTTAAGTTTATGGTATATATCTACATGTTTTCCTTATCGCTTGAGATTTAATCTTAAATTTTCGACCCTAGGGAGTTTGCAAGATAAAAGACATATCAAGGCGTTTGGATATAAGATTGACACCTCATGATCAGTACCACTGTGCCACGCTCTACTTTACCGGAAGTGATACTTTTAATCAAGAAATGAGAGCGCATGCGTTGAAAAATGGTTTCACCCTAAATGAATATTGCCTTAGGCCGATGGGCGTAACAGGTACGGCATTTTTCTTATTCTTTGATTTCATTCATAAAATAAATATTTATTAGGAGTTCCAGGCGAACCTGTGAAAGTGACCTCTGAAGAAGATATATTTGATTATATAGATTTTCCTTACAAAAAACCAATGGAGAGAGGTTAAAATTACATTAAATATAGAAACAATATATTTTATCGTGTATTTATTTGTTATTTACAATAAATTATGTTTTTAATTCAATATAAGAGATCTTATTTACAATATAGTATATACAGTAATTAATAGAAAATAAATTAAAACATAAACCCATTATTTAATTTAATGTGTATCGGGTTGTTTTATTGCTTAACCATCACAGAAGCCGATACCACTTCCTCATTTCCAATTTTCTTTCTTCCTCCGTAGACTATGTTACTAGGTCTTTGGCTTAATTTGAAGTTGTCGCCGGTTCCAGGCCTGTACAGAACTCTTTCGTTTGTGTGAAAATTTTGGCCGGTAATCCTTTGGAACTGGGCGTGATCGTGGCCCTTGGACAAATCCGGCGCTGGGATCTCGTAAGATTTGGCGGGGAGTGCGCCCTCAGGGGCGTTGATTGGAATCCACTCAGAGCCTGAAGTCAATTTGTGCTCGAAAGGCGGATTTCTGTGGATCCTTTCAAAGTTGTGCGGGTTGTACTTTGTAATCTTTTCTTTTGTTATTTCCAAAAAAGGTTCCTCTTTAACCTTTTTGAAATGGCTCTGTTGGTATTCAGCCGGCCTCCTGTGGACTTGAACCTCCGGGAAATTGTGTTTGTGATTTTCGTATTTTGGCTTATGCCTTGTATCATGACCCGAATGATATTCCTGAACATGATCGTTGGCCGGTACGTACTTGTGCGGGAATTTATTCACAACTTCTTGGGATTCGAAGCTATCCTCGTAACTGTAGCTTTCTTCAGGATTTTGTTGAAAATGTTGCTTCGTTTCTTCATTGTGCTGGTGATGATTGTGTGGATGGCTATTTTTAAAGTGCATCGGGTGGCCTGTGAGTTCTTGCAAATGTTCCTTCATTTGCCATTGAGGTCTAGGTTGTTCATAATCAAAATATTCTTCATCGTTATTAGCAAAATGCTTTACAGGCTGCTGCTGAGGTCTAAGCTTCTTAATTTGGTGATTTTTAAACGCTTCCATAAAATCACTATCAGCATTTCCATTACTGTGCTGTTTCTGCAGTCCGTGGTGTGTCATTATGAAATGTTTATAAACATTTTCTGGTTTTGTTTCTTTACCTAGATTTGAATTGAATATTTGTGTTGCAGCAGGTGGGAAAGGTTTACCCGGATTGACTTGGTTGTGGTTGTATCTCTGAGGTGAAAACCTATGTCTAAAAATAAAATCATAATATGAATAATAAATCTAATTACCCATGAACATATTTAATACCTTTCTGTGTGCTTTTTTTGTTTATTTCCAGAATTAGATGGTTTATTGCTGTTTCCAACATGCAATTTAGGAGAACCATACGGAACAGATCTTACAGGTGGTGAGGCGTGATAGAACTCATCATCATACCCACCAGGCTGCTGATATATTATACCTTCAGAGTAACCTTTTAAAGATTCTTCTCCAAAAGGTTTTGAAAGAGAAGAGACCTAAAAGTAGATAATCTGTTTAATGCTAAAGAACATTGATTTTATTATTGTAATTAGATTTCTCGATAAAATTACCTGTGGTACAACGTTGAGTGGGATACCCTTGAAATTTGGAACTCCACGAATTATAGGTACATCTTGACTCTCCGCTGGGAACATATGTGGTCCAAAGTAATTCTGTAAAAGAAGATCAGTCTTGTTGGTTATTGTTTAAAAAAATTATCAATTCTCAACTTTGTAGATGGGTCATTTGTAATCATCTCGATGTTTCTGGATTTTACCATTTTTAGTGGTGCTCAGTGGCAGACTAGAAGGATTGGGAACAACCAAACTACAACACACACACCTTAACTATAACTAAAATTATCCTTACAATTTAAAAAAAATTATTTTACTTGTATCCTAAGTATATAACAAGATATATAACAAATTGGATCATCAAAACTTTCTTTTTAACACGGTCAAAGAACAAACACTAATGCCCTATGAAACATAGGGAATGGATAAGTCAACAAAAGGAATGTAGAGGTCGTGTATAGGAGGTGTAAGGTCGGTGATGTAGTAAGGAGCTTTTATGATTTGTCTGAGGACTTTTGATTGAAAGGGTTGGATAGCTTGTGCATCGCAATATACACCATTTTTATAATCCAATATGAACAGTTTGGGTTTGAGTCAGGATTTCCCACTACTAATTAGCTAGAGTTGTTGATGCAACTGGGCTGTTTAATCTATTCATACTGGCTTGGTTTTGATGGACATCCTAAAGGTGCTTGACTGAGCAGTTTGGCTGTTGGAGGGATAAGCAGGCTGATAGACTACAGCTTTCCCCCCATGCTTCATTAAAATCATTCACTAATATTTATATGATAGGACATTTCGAATCTGTCTCAACTCAACCCTTTCTCAAAGTTGTGACACATCTGCTGGTGCTCACAGCGATCCATAATAGGACCTGATCTTGTTTTTATTTTATCCAATACAAAGCCAAGACTAAAAGACTGTAGACTGGCCTTATGTACTGATGACATTACCATCTACGTATTAGAGACTTACAAAGGCCATGTCATGAATTGGCAGTAACAAATGGAGGATTAAAATAAGTCTGACAAAAACAGAGGCTATCCTCTTAAGCACAGGCCGGTATTGTAATGTCAACTTTGGGGGTCGGGTAATACCTGCTGCTGTTAACCACCTTAGGAAAGACAAAGCTGCAAGTTCAGTCTAACCTCACATACAGCTTAGGGGTTTTCTTTGTTTTTCTCTTTGTAAGCCTGTCTTAGAAAATATGTTGAAAATAAGGCTGTAGAACAGACCATCCATCCGGTAGGGAGCAAAAGAGGTTTCCCACAATCTGGAAGTTAAATGAATGCAAAGATGAATTGTCTATGCACTAATGAAAGCCAGAGTTATTTAGTGTGGGAAGGTTGACACTGACACAGTTCATCCAGCTGTGAGACTGTACATTTGGGGCGTTGCCTGAACATTCACTCACAATTGCTGTAGAACCAAAGTGTACATATTGGTGACTTGTTTTGTGTAGTTAACCTCAGAACTCAATGTTTCTATAGGCCACACGTTTTGACAAAATAACCTCAGAGCCTCATGTTTCATCAAATTAACCTCATAGCATCACCATTCATATTGCCAACTCATTTTTTAAATTAAACTCAAACACTCAGCTTTTATTGGCTACACATTTTGAGCAAATAACCTCAGAGCCTCATGTTTTGTCAAATTAACCTCACAGCCACAGTGTTCACCTCGTTTAGTCATATTCACTTCAGACACTCAGCATTTTTATTGGCTACACGTTTTGACAAAATAACCTCAGAGCCTCATGTTTTGACAAATTAACCTCATATCACCACCATTCATATTGCCAACTAATTTTTTAAATTAAACTCAAATACTCAGCTTTTATTGGCTACACATTTTGAGCAAATAACCTCAGAGCCTCATGTTTTGTCAAATTAACCTCACAGCCACTGTGTTCACATTGACAACTTGTTTACTCATATTCAACTCAGACACTCAGCACTTTTATTGGCTACACATTTTGACCAAATAACCTCAGAGCCTCATGTTTTGTCAAATTAACCTCATAGCACCACCATTCATATTGCCAACTCGTTTAGTCATATTCACCTCAGACAATCAGCACTTTTATTGGCTACACGCTTTGACAAAATAACCTCAGAGCCTCATGTTTTGTAAAATTAACCTCATAGCCACACCATTCATATTGGTAACTCATTTTGCCATATTCACCTCAGAGCTCTTATTGTTGAAACTTTTGCCACACTACCCTTAGAACTTCAGCACTCATTTCGGCAGCTCATTCACTCACACCAAACTCAGAGCCTTAGGGTTCTTAGTGCCATGTCAAGTTAGCTGAGTCTGCAGTAAACAGCCAAACTTTGTCTGGGCCTCAGCCGTGCTAGCTAGTAAGGACCATCCATTGTGACAAGTCAAGGACCCAGGAGCTGCAGGAAGAAGATCCTGGAAGACGCTGGATGATGTCTAAATGGTATTGACGATCATCAGTCCTCTTGTGCCCATCCTAAAGTTGTGGCTGACTTGCCTGGATTGTTTTTCGTTTCTTTTGGTTTGTTACCAGATTAAGACGAGCTAATTTAAAAATAAATATTTATGTATATCTCTCTCTGGTGTTTATTGTATTTTTGGATCCCTACCTTATCATAGACAAAAAGTAGTTAAGCGATAAGCACATAAAGGGGCGGCTCCTGCTTACACCTTGAATTAACTTTTGTTTGATATACTTAAAAAAATTAAATTCTAAAGTAGGAAGTTATAGTAAAAATTGGCCTCCTATGTGAATATGTGTAAACGATTGCATGTATTTTATTTCGTTATGAGTTATCTGTTTTTGTTTAGATTCTGTGAAAGGTAGGCTAAACCAGCTTTTCTCTTAGGCGTTGCGGGCATAAAGCTTTGTTCGAGGCCGAACAATAAAATTAGAAAAATCGCTTAATTGAACATTAAAACAATTAATTATTAATCAAATAACACGTAAAATATACTTTACCTGAGAAGGTGATTCATTCGTCGGAAATCTTATCCTGTTGGACCTTGGAGACATTTCAACAGCCGCCGAAGCGCCAAAAAAGACGAAGAGGAAAAGACACTGAAAATTAAAATGAAAATGGTTAGATTGTCTTTGAATCGAACTTTGTCTAGGGCTTAGAAGAATATTAGAAATGGAAAGTGTCGAGCTAATACGGATTCTATGTTGCCAAGGGAAAGCAGCATTTCCTGAGATCCAGTATCGTATTTGTGAAGAGGAAACGGTTCCTCCGGGCTTTCTCCATCCATCTTATTAAAGACATAACTAATTCCTAAACAGCCACGACGAATTAGACAAAGTCCGAAATATTATCTAATACGATTGTACTTTATCATTTTTTTATTATTGGAGAAAAGACTTTGGACACACTTTCCCTCTCGGATCGCAAGGATGCCTTAGGAACTTCACGCTTGAATTAAAATGACAAATAAAAAGTTTTTCCACATAATAAAAATGGGCTGAAGAAATATGGAAGGTGTTTGACCCAAAGGCACCGTTTTGGATGGCCTTGAGGGTTTAGAGGCCAAGGCAGCTTAAGGTCGATTCTAGGAGGTCCGCTGGTACAAGAGCATTACTTTCTTTTCCTTTTCCCACATCGTACATTTCACCCTTAACATTTCGACGACCTCGACCGTTTTGACGATATTCAAATTCTATTTTCAACAACGGCGTTGGTGAAAGAGCTTTGTCTTCGGGCATGGATGGAAAGTGGTTGCGATTAGAACAACGATATGGTATTTTGTTTTTATCTGATCCCAGGTCTAAAAATTTTCATCAAATTATAGCTTAGGATTTCTTTTTTTAACCGTGGTAAACATAGAATTATTTGTCAAAAGTTTTGATAAAAAATCCAATTTTTCCAGTTTGACAGAAAACCACATCATCATTTTAATAATGGTTGCGGTTTTTTTGATACGGTTCGACTGACAACTTTCGAATTCAATTAATTATTGACAGATTAAATTGAGTTTTTACATTGGAGTCCAGACCAGAAGAAATCAAATCTAACATTTTCAAAAAATCAGGTTTTTAAAAGCATTGGCTAAACATTTTTTTACCAATAAAAATATACTTTTTTACCACCACCAAGTACTTTACATTTGTTTCTCCCTCTTTCTGTTATCCAACTTTAATCAATCTCTAATTTTTGAACAAAAAAAAAATTGTTTTGCACCGTATCATTCAAAAAAAGCTTTCTCTTATATTGACAGTTTCTCTTTCTTCGGGTTTTGTTTGTTTGCAGGGAAGAAATTCGGTCAATGAGTGGTCAGGTCGGCGAAACCAAATTTGGAATAAGGTGTGTAAACTGACGAAAGTGTAACTTCTATCGTTTCTTCGTCGAACATTTGACTCAACTGTGAAGCTTACTTCTTATTTTAAAAATTTTTTGTAATTTTTTTACTACGAGACTGATTATAATTTTTTAATGTCATTATCAGAATTCTCTAGTCAGTTATTACTTCCTTTAATTTTTTTGCACAAAATTTTGCTTTCAGTTTGCTAGTGAACCTTGATACACTCTGTAATATCAGATCGTTCTGAAACTTCGTAAAAAATTATTAAAACACCATATTTATTAATTAGTTTATAACATTCAAGAGACATAAACAATTTAAGATTTCCACAAATAAAAATTGTCATAAGTGCTAAAGTATTCTCTGGTTGTACTGAGAAATCATTTTAATGGCTGGAGGAGTTGAGGTTATGACGAGAGTGAAAAAAAAAGTGCAAAAGTTGGGTCGCACTTAAACATTAAAAAAACCAAGAGCTTGATCGAACACCGGCAAATATAAGTGACAGACTTTGTATTTTCAAGCGCTAAGATTACTACTTCTAGGGAGGAGAGCAATGGCAAAATTTGATAAAATATTTAAGACCAGAGACACACTGACAAAGCTCTGCAAAGTTAAACCAATGATGTTCTTAGAACTAGCCCAGCTAGTATCCGCAGACCTGTCGAACCAATTAGATTAACTTAGGATTTTCACTGTGGTGAATGTATTTATTAGCGGGATTGAAGGGAGGGCATCAAGTTGAAAATCGCCTTGCCGGGCTCCTGACCGTTGGTTTAAACTATACATTTTAACGTAGTTGTCGTGATGGGGCCTCAGCATGTATCGAGCACTTGAGACTTACCAAACTTCGGTTAGATCATCTTTAAAATGTGTGAATGTGTTTATCTGCCTGAGTGGTTGAGTATGTACAGCACAGTCTGTGGAATATCCAGCATACACAGACCTATCGAACCAAATATAATAACTTAGGATTTTTATTGTGTGTGAATGTATTTATTAGCGGGAATGAAGGTGAAAATCGCCTTACCAGGCACCCAATCGTAGGTTTAGTGTGTACATATTTTTCGAGATGGGCCTCAGCAGTATATCGAGCTCTTGTGACCTGCCAAACTTAAGTTAGATAATATTTAAAATTGCATGAATGTGTATTTATTGTGTGAATGTATTTATCTGCTCGAATGGTTGAGTGTTTATAGCACAGTCTGTGTAATATCGATCATCCACAGACCTGTCGAACCAGTTATATTAACTTAGGAAAGAAATTTGATTTTTACTGTGTCAATGTATCTGCCTAAGTGGTTGACTGTGACAGCACAGTCTGTGAAATATCAATAGCCCATAGACATGTGTAACAAAATAGAATAACTAATGTTTTTACTATGTTTGAATGTATTTATTAGCGGGATTGAAGGAAGGGCGTCAAGGTTAAAATCCCCTTGCCGGGCCCCAAACCGTCGGTTTAGGTTATATATAATTTTCGGGATCGGCCTCAGCTCTTGAAACCTGCCAAACTTAGGTTAGATAACCTTTGAAATTGCATGAATGTATTTATTATCGGGAATGAAGGAAGGGCGTCAAGGTTAAAATCCTTTTGCCGGGCTCTAAACCATCGGTTTAGGATATACATAATTTTCAGGATAACGCTCACCAGTATATCGAGCTCCTGTGACCTGCCAAACTTAGTAGATAATCTTTAAAATTGCATGAATGTATTTATTATCGGGAATGAAGGAAGGGCGTCAAGGTGAAAATCCCCTTGCCGTGCTCCAAACCGTCGGTTTAGGCTATACATAATTTTCGGGATCGACCTAAGCTCTTGCCAAACTTAGGTTAGATAATCTTTGACATTGCATGAATGTATTTATTTGCGTGAGTGGTTGATCATGTATGGATATCTACCATCCATAGACCTGTCGAACCGATTAGATTAACTTAGAATAGAGAATTTGATTTTTCCTCTGTGTGAATGTATTTATTAGCGTATTTATGGCGACGTTTTATAAATGTTTATTAATATTGCCATAGCGTGAAAACGTGGGATCCATGTACAGGTGCATTTATGTTTAATAAACATAATGCCAGTTGTTTACAAAACTCGGCGATGACCTCTGCGTCCCACCTTCTTGAAGGTTACTTTCACCATCAAGCCAACTCTCCTTAAGTGGAGAAAGATGGTTAAAAAAATTTGAAAATATTATATTTTTGACAGTTTTTTCTCAGGTAATATATTTCTTTTGTTAAAATAATTAAAATTAATTACAATTATAAACAACAATACTGAACATAAAAACAATTATGAGAACGATCCTCCTAAGACAATGCCGACAGGACTAATTAATTTCAGGACAATTTTTTTTTTTTTGGCGAAAAATTGAGAATGTTGGAGTTTACTTTCATCGTACTAATTAAGAAAGTTTCCCTTTTAGATATTTAAAAACAAGATGACGCGTAATCAAGGGATTTCTCTGTTCATCGAGCTGATGAACTGGATTAAGCAGCCAATCAGTCTCAGGCGTGATTGTCATCATCAACCATGATCGAATACCATCTTTTATGATCGAACTGCAAATGAGTAGGAAGTGGAAGGACGTGTGGGCGCTGACAACATATAGCACAGAGACCTCGTAACCCAAATAAAATCCCACGCCGAAGAAAGTGATCGCCGGCCGTTCGTCACGTTTATAATCCGAGCCCATCACTTATTGGATACGTCGTGTCTCAATCCGAATAGCATTGGGCCAAGTGCGACACTTTCTCTCTTAGATCCGAACGATAAAATATCGTCCACCTTCTGCTATTTTGACGTGCCGAACGTTAACGGTTATGGACGCAGGGACGGTCCCGTGCGTTGGACACACCTGTTTTCGAAAAGAGTACAATTTGTCCCCCCCCAATAGCTTAGATTGTAAGTTTTTGTTTATGGGGTCGAAGTTACTTGTAAAAAGTAACTTTCTCTATTCCACACTTGGTAGGTAACAGATTTAAATTGTGCTTGGGGTGAATGACAAAATATCTAAAAAAGAAAATTTTCCTTTTCTTCCCTACTTCCCCCTAAAGTAGACAGCAGAGATTATATTTTATTTGCATTAAAATTTAGATAATCTTTATAAAAGTTAAAACAAAAAAAAAGATAATATATTTAAAGAAAAATATATAAAACCGACGGACGGATAGACGAAAAATAAAAATGTTGTACGGACCACCCGTCCGTACAACATGGATGGCTAGAATTCGTCCACTCTACTTCTAAAACTGGTAAGGTTGAAGCCATTATTTTTTAAATGTAAGCAGATTTTCTATTTGATAACTATTCAAATGATAAGAAATAGTTTTAAAGCTCTGGTAAAGGGCGTATATCACTCAAAAGCATCCAAATTTGCATTTTTGCAAATCTTTATTTTTGATTGCAATCCGCGACTGTAGTATGAAGGTTGATATCTATCACATCATGTATGTGTATACGAAGAACGAAATATAAATCCATATAAGGAAATAGATAGATGAAGAGATGGAGATATAAATATACCTATAGATAGGTAGGTAGATAGATGGATCGATAGACAGAGAGAGAGATAGGAAGATTAAGAGAAAGAAAGAGAGAGGGTGAGAGAGAGAGAGAGAGAGAGAGAGAGAGAGAGAGAGAGAAATCCCGACAAATGGAGAGTGATCATAAAAGATAGATAGATTGATAGAGGTAGATAGAGAAAGAAAGTGAGAGAGAGAGAGAGAGAGAGAGAGAGAGAGAGAGAGAGAGAGAGAGAAATCCCGACAAATGGAGAGTGGTCATAAAAGATAGATAGACAGATAGAGGTGGATAGAGAAAGAAAGTGAGAGGGAGAGAGAGAGTGAGACAGTGAGAGAGTGAGAGAGAGAGAAAGAGAGAGACAGAGAGAGAGAGAGAAATGAAAATATATAGATAGAAAGATAATTAAACAGAGATAGAAAAAAATTAAAGACAGCTTTACCATAAATTTACAATATATCAGTAATAATCGTTAAAATTAATAGGATATACAACTCAACACACGTCTAAAACACGAAATAATTTAACTTATTTATGAAAAAAATTGATACTTTAAACTATAAATACTGAACAGCTAGTCTGTTCATTCGATATTACAACAAACCAAAAATTCAAAGCGTTTTAAACTGTAGCGTAAAGATTTTGGAGGTTTTTTCGTGAATAGCATCCAAGGAAACATTGAATGCCGTTATTTCAGATGTAACAAAGAGCAATTAGAAAGAGCCAGTATGAAATTAAAATAAAACAGACAACAGAATAAAACAAATCGCCATGATCTGAGGAAAAATTTTCTTCTTCGATCACTGCGTTTTTTTACGCGAAATCATATTTAATATTTGTGAATGTTTTTTAACGTGTAAATTTAATCCAGTGGATATGAAAAGTTTCCTATACTGTATTTAATCATTACTGATCAATATTTGACTTTTAAATCCGTGACGGTCAAGAATTAAAAAATTGGATTATTTTTCATACGTCGAGGCAAGTTTTAACATGAAGATCTGATATATTTTTAAATTCATTTAAGAAAATATTATTTTATTATTTAGAGTAATATTAAATCTTAAGTGTGCGATAAAAATCTCTAGAATGAATTTATTCCCTGCACCGTCTCACGAGATTTCTTGAAGAATCTTTTGTCTGTGCCACTCTGTTTCTCACTTTTCCCCGGATTTTGCCTGCCCACCGGGCAAATTAAAACTTTCTAAATCAAAACAATCAATCACTACAGTTACCATTTGGGATACTAAAAAGGGAATATATTTTTGACCGTTTTATTGTAAAAATCTATTCAAAAATCTAGCTTTTCTGTTAATCCGACAGAAGGATTAACGACATCCAATAAGTCTTAAGAAGTTGAAGAAGTACGAAGTAACAAGTCGCAAACGAAGTTGAAGTGACAAAGAGCCACTTTCAACTATAACGCCAGGTAAGTTTTAAACGTTAAAATTTAAAACGTGAAATCAGTATAAATTGTCTAAAGATCGAGATTTTTGTTAAATGTAACAACATTTTTTGGTATTTAGTTTAAATTAATAAATTGGTAAATGTGTATGATCAAAATTTGGCTCTTCTGAGAACTATGTATTTCAAGGAACCTTCCATTTAAATATGTTTAATTTTTTTAAAATAATTCAGGTGGGCCGTACTGGGAATTTATATTTAATTTTTGTGATTCATAAAAAAAAAGATAAACGTTTGTCATTCAAATTTATCTTTCTAAAATTTTACAAAAAATTAAGCTTGCTTTAGGTCCATTAAAAATAAAATTTGAAAAGTTAAATCACTATGAAATGGCAAATAAATCGAGACTTTCGTCGCAATTAAACAATTGCCTGTATTTCATCGTTTTGAAATAAGCTTAAATAATTAATTTCAAGACAAATTTGTTTTTCTAATTTTTATGTCCATAATAATAAAAATTTATAAAGTGGTCGAATAATTTTTGTCAAATTAAACAATTCCATGTTTTCCACGTTTTTCAAAAACCTTAAATAATTAATTTCAGGGCAGATTTGTTTTTTTAGTTTTTATGACCATAATAATAAAAATTTATAAGGTCAAGTCGACTCATTTTTGTCAAATTAAACAACTACAAGTATTCGACGTTTTTCAAGAAGCCTAAATAATTAATTCAAGGACAGATTTTTTCTAAAGGTTTTGTGTCCATGATAATGAATATTTATAACATCAAATCGACTGATTTTTGTCAAATTAAATAATTGCAAGTATTCCACGTTTTTCAAGAAGACTAAATAATTAATTCAAGAACAGATTTTTTTCTAAAGTTCTTATATCCATAATAATAAAAATGTTTAACGTCAAGTCGACTGATTTCTGTCAAATTAAACAATTGCAAGTATTCGACGTTTTTCAAGAAGCCTAAATAATTAATTCAAGGACAGATTTTTTCTAAAGTTTTATATCAATAATAATGAAAATTCTTAACGTCAAGTCGTCAGATTTTTGTCAAATTAAACAATTGCAAGTATTCGACGTTTTTCAAGAAGCCTAAATAATTAATTCAAGGACAGATTTTTTTCTAAAGTTTTTATACCCATAATAATACAATTTTATAACGTCAAGTCGACTGTTTTCTGTCAAATTAAATTGCAAGTGTTTTTTTTAAAGAATTTATAGTATGAGTCAAGGTTTGTCAGTCGATTTCTGCATACATATATTTTAAAACTTTATATTTGTAATATTTTGCATAAATCTGACTGACGAATTTTTCTACGGGCTTTTTAAACGTTAACTCGTCAATTTAAATCCATGAAATACAAATTAAAACGTTAGAAAATTATAAAATGACAAACTCGATTGCCTGGTTTTCGACCATTTAGAATCAACTTAAAGAATAAATAATTTTGTATTTGTTATGTACTTCATTAAATAATTAAACTACTAAAAATGCCATTGAAGATTTTTATAAGACAGTTTGACATGTTGAATCGAACTTAGTTTAAAATGTAATTAAACTTTACTTTTCAATTTTAATTGTTAATTGTATTGTTTCCTACTTTGTGTATAGGGTGTCTTTTTTGATGTCCCGGCTGAATTTCTCTTAAAAATATAACATTATCAAAAAAACACAATAATTTTGTTTACAAACATGTACCTATTTTAGTGCAGATTTATGTTTTTACCCCATTTGTTAAACATTTTAAATATTCAGAGTAATCACTTGAAAACAGTGGGTAAAAAGTGTACGTTCTCATTTAAAATTTCAAAATTGTTCCGACACTAAAGTACCCTGACAACAAATTTTTAAAAAAAGGGTGTAAAAATATAATAATAGACTAAAAAATAAAAAGTCTAAAATGAGGTAATTATTGCTAGACGATGAGTCCTACTGTGACTTTACGTGTTTTATTTATTTTTATTTTTGAGAAAAGAATGAAGTGTAAAGTTTTGCAAAATAAATTTGTATATTTGCATGGTGAAAATTTGTAGCATAAGTTGGGGGTGAAAGTTTGAGCCAATTCGTACAGTCTTTTAAAGTCTTTTTTTTCTTCATTTTAAAGCTTATAACTGTCATGTTTTATGTAAATTTGACAAAAAAGTACACGAATTCCTCTAGAAAAATTATAAAAATATTAACCTGTATGTTTGGGTGATTTTTCTATTCAAGCTTTTCGTAAATTATATCTTTTTTTATTTTTATGTATTTCGAGGCACTTTTAGCCTCCTCCTCAATGCGTTTTAAATAAGCAAACAGACTTTACATACGAATAAAATTTATGTACCGTTGGAAAAAATTGAATATTTCACCCAATCGACAAGAGATGGAAAAATTGAGTTAAGGCATACTAAAGAAAAACCGTCAAGAATTTAATTTTTTGTTCGGTTCTTATGTGCATCCATAATAATTGGATGGTTTCATATCAAGCCTCAAAGTTAGGGAACTTAATTTTAACAGGAGGCAGCCTTGACCGAAGGAGAAATTTACACCTACATCAACTTAAGACCGGTCGTAGAAGAGACGAACTCTCTATTTCCATTTTAGCATGATTAATTGAAAAAAATTAAACGCAAGTTTAATTTAGAGAAATTTTTGACTGATTGATGATCAAAAAAAAAGTGCATGGAAATTTTAGCTTTTTAGTTATTCCATTATTTTTTGTTTTGATTGAGTAATTTAGTAGATGACCTCCTTTGTTTTTTAAAATAAGAACTCTGTTTTATTTATTTCTTTCATTTCCAATTTATCATTGTTACTTACGATATAATCCATGGCTGTTCGGCACTGGCGACTGACTGTGAGTTAGACCGGCGTGGTCAGGGGAATTCATTCCTTTGCCCCCACTCGACACAGATTCGAAAGTGCTCGGAGTTTCCCCTCAAAGCTCCTCTTTGTAAAACCGAATCGTGCTTAAAAGCTGTGTAACAATAGAAAACTGATTTTTATTTAAGCGCATGACCTCATGCGAAGGACGAAGAGAGAATTCGGCAAGTTTTCACTAAGTCCTGATGAAGAGTAAGTTTAAAGTTTCCTTTAGATTTATTCGAACGGGACTTAACAAGCCTCAAGTTCAAGTCTTGAGGTCTTCCCGCTGACGAAACTGTATATTGGTCGTTTCCAATTATTTTGGTCTGTCTATGTAAGGAGGATTTAATTAAATTGGTTATGACCTATTTTAGGTGTTTTGATCAAACGCTTCGGACAACACACAAAGCGAGGTTTGGCGGACCGGAGAAGATCGAAGCCCGAGTATCATGTCCGATTACTGTGCCGATTATTATATTAAAAAATATGTTCATAGTTTTCATAGAGTGAGAAATAGAGAAGGGGGAGAGTGAGAGAGAGTGAGAGAGAGAGAGAGATAGAGATAGAGATAGAGAGAGAGAGAGAGAAAGAGAGAGGTCTGATTTCTGGGTCCAAGTGATGCTTTTTAAGTCATATTACATGCTATAAAACTTATCTGCTTTATACTGAGATTGTAATGAAATATTCCAAAGCGCCAATGTTCAGCATCCCAATGGGTCCAATATCAAAAATGGTACAAGATCTGATGTTCACGTGCAGCCCTAAAGTTAAGCCTATGGTAAAAGAAAGTAGAAGAGAGAAAGGCAACTGAAAAGTTGAATCTGTAAACAAAGTTAGATGTAACTAAGAAAATGTACTTACAAAAAGAAGTAGATTGACAAATAAATACCACACATAGTAGGTAGAAAATAAATAGTCAGAACACAACAGACGGGAAGGGAAAGAACGATATAGAGAGAAAGAGAGAGAACAAGATATAAAGAAATAGAGAAGAAATGAGAGTGATAGAGAGAAGGAGAGAGAGAGAGAGAGAGATTAGATGAATAGATGGATAAAGATAGGTAAATAGATATGTACAATAAATAGAAAGAGATAGATTGATAGAATAGATAAATAGTCTGAGATGGAGCTAAATAGATACATATATTTATTTGTTAAATACATAGATAAAATAAATAGATGGAAATAGTTAGATAGATATATTGGATAAACAAATGGAAACAAATAGTTAAATAGATAGCTAAAAAAATAGATTCGGATAAATTTATAAATTGATAGATAAATAAAATAATTAAATTGAGATAAGTTGATAGATATATAGATAAAATAAATAATAGACATATAAATAGATGGAAATAGATAGTTAAAATAAATATTTGGAGATAGATTAATAAATAGATAGATAAATAAAATAATTAGAACGGGTTAGATTGATAGATATATAGATAAAATAAATATATGGAGATAGTTAACTAGATAGATGAAATAAGTTGGAGATAGAAATTTAAAGAAATAGGTAAAATAAATTAATAAATACATAGATAAATAAAATAATTAGATTGAGATAGATTGATAGATATATAGGTGAATAAATAGATGGAGATAGATTAATAAATAGATAGAAAAAAATAGATCGAGATAGGTTGATAGATATATAGATAAAATAAGTAGATAGAGATAGATATACAGAGTAGATAAATAGATAGAGATAAATAGCTCAAACAAATAGACAGCGATAGATAAATTAGATAAATAGATAGATAAAATAAATAGACGGAGATAGATAAATTAGATAAATAGATAGATCAAATAAATGATGGAGATAGATCGATAGATAAATCAGATAAAATCATTTATGGCGATAATTGATTATAGGAGATATGAAGAAAGATGAACAGAAAGATTCATAGATAGACAGCGAAGCAGGAAGAGAAGGGAAGAGAGCCAGATAGATAGATAGAGAGAGAGAGAGAGAGAGAGAGAGAGAGAGGTATAATTAATTTATTTTAAAAAATTGAAAAATGTCACTAATATAGGAAAAACGTAAAAGACATGTAGCACAATTATTGTACTGAATATATACTGAAGTTGGAAGAAGTGGCCACCTAAATCGATTTTAATAATAATTCATAAAAAATTAGATCTGGCTGTTGGTCGGTTGTAAGTTCTTGCGAAAAAAAAAGTAAATATATGCTTGAGAGATAGGGACAAGAAGGAATAGAGAAAAAATATAAAGATAGAAGGAGGAGATATGGATAAAGACAAACAGAAAGATAGACAGATAGATAGAGAGCGAAGTAGAAAGAGAAGGAAAGAGAGGAGAGAAAGAGAAAGAAAGAGAGAGAGAGAGAGAGAGAGAGTGAGGGCGAGAGAGAGAGAGAGAGAGAGAGAGGGCGAAAGAGGGAACTAAACAGTTGAAAAGATAGGTAAAGTTAGGTACAACTTGGGAAATAGAGATACAAAAAAGATATGGAAATTGAGTTGGAAAAAGAGATTGATAGATATACAGAAAGGTAAGTACCATATGTGCATAGATAGATTCATAGACAAGTAGGTACATAAAAAGAGAGAGAGGGAGCGAAGGAGGGAGAGAGAGAGAGAGAGAGAGAGAGAGAGAGAGTGAGAGAGAGAGAGAGAGAGAGAGAATTGTTAAAAAATGTAGATGACTTGTCCAACTAGATTAAGATATTAAAGTTAATATAATTATAATTTAGATGATCTATAACAAAGCTCAGTGCTCATTTCATTAAGCAAGTTTTAAATGTTTTTTTTAAGTAAATTCTCGGTAATAATACTCAAGTTAACTTGCAAAGTTAATTTGCCATATAAAAATAATTAAAGAAAGGTATTGCCAACGAAGAACGTTTTATTATTTACCATATAAAAAAGGACAGATGCGAATTATTTTAACCAGCCGCTTTGTTTCTCCTGTGACCGATATCCAAAGGATTCAACCCAGCCCAACACAAACCTCACAGGTTTTACGGCGCCACGAAAACTATCCGGTATTTGGTCCACCGTGTAAATCCGGTTGATAGCTTTTAAACATCACAACCTCGGAACCTAGATCTGCCAGTTATCCATCCTACAATGGATATACTGTCGGATTATCTTCGAGATGTAACTTTCCTACGGCCCAAGCCTTTTTTTTAAACCGCCAACTTGATGTTATGCTCATACAAAGTTTTCACATCGTTAAATCTTCAATTAAAAACAACTTGATTAACGGGATGAAGTTAATTATCGAAATATTTCTTTGTAGAGATCATAGATAGAAATCTCTTTCCGCATTTTTATCAAAGGCAAACATCAAATCAGTATACCATTAATAAATTAATAACACTTATATAACATCATCACGTGGTCTAATTAAAAATGATAATGATTTCATTAACTAAAACGTTAATTCATGATTAATCTTATAAATGGTCTTCGAGGATTGGTATGTTTTATTCATGCTTCCTCTCTTATCAATTGTACCAATCAGTTCTAACAAGTTCTAGTCCGATACTGTTCTCCATTTTGTAAACGATATTTCTCAATGCCATTTTAAATGGTGAGAGTGAGAGAGCTTTAAAGAATTAGTGAAAAATAGATGTAGGATGAGAAGATGTAGAGAATAAAGGGAGATAGAAAGGGATACAAATAAAGAACGAGTGATAGCTTGATAAATATGAGTGGACATTTGAGCAAAAATATGATTGAAATATTTAGATAAAATAGGAGTGTGGTGAGTGTGTGTGTGAGAGAGAGATATAGATAGATAGATAGATAGATAGATAGATAGAGAGAGAGAGAGAGAGAGAGAGAGAGAGAGAGAGAGAGAGAGAGAGAGAGAGAGAGCAAAGTAAACATAGTAGAAATATGGAGAGACAGGGAAAGAGCGAGAGACAGACAGAGAGACACTCAAACAGACAGAAAGAAATAGTGAGAGAGCGAAAGAGGAATCTAAAAAGTGGAAAAGATAGATAAAGTTAGATACAACATGTGATATAGATTGACAAATGTACGGAAAAAGAAACGGAGACAAAACATGAAAGATAGGTGGAAGATAGAAGAAAGATATAGAAAAAATAAATAAAGTTTGATTTATAGTCATAGAATTTGGTCCAATTTGATTACTCTTACACCCGACATCTAAGAGGGAAAGAGAAAGAAAGAAAGAATACGACAGAGGGAGAGAGTGAGAGAGTGAGAGAGAGAGTGGTAGGTATAATTAATATAATTTAAAAAATTGTCACTAATATAGAAAAAATGTAAAAGCCATGTAGCGAAAGTATTATAGTGAATATAATATTGAAGTTGAGAGAAGTGGCCACCTAAATCGATTTCAATAACTTGTCAAAAATGGGATGTGGTTGTTCGTCGGTTGTACGTTCCTGGAAAAAAGTAGATATATATGTATGAAATGAGAGAGAAATTTCGAGATAGACGGAGGTCATGGAGAAAGATGATCAGAAAAATAGACACATAGATAGAGAGCGAAGTAGAAAAAAAGAGAGAGAGAGAAAGAGAGGGAGAGAGAGAGGGAGAGAGCAATGTAAACAAAGTAGAAACATGGTGAGACAGGGAAAGAGCGAGAGACAGACAGACAGATACGCAGATAGACAGAGAAAGAGAGAAAGAGAGAGAGAGTGAAAGAGAGAAAGAGAGAGAGAGAGAAAGGAGAGGATTTATATATGTCATATACACGGGAAACCCGTTCTTTCGATGTCGTAGACTTGTAATTTTTGATTACTCTTTATTTCATTTATTACAGAGCCGATTTCGGGATGCCACGCTCACCCTTTGCTGTTAAACCTAAAAAGAGAGGTCATGGAGGCATCATTTCCTTATTTTAACACGTTTTTTCATTGTTTGATAATTGTTTTCATATTATAATACTAAAGAAATAAAACCATGTACTAGAACATATCATAGGATGGCGGAACGTTCTATAATTGAAAATTTCTTTAACCGCCTTCACCAAAAGAACTAAAAATAAGAAAAACTAATATATTCATATTTCACGAGGTGGTAACTTTATTAAAAACAACCCATTGTTCAACAAAAA